CTTTACACCACATTACATGATGAAAACAGCAGAACGGTAGTTTGTTCAAGTTAGATGCCTGTATTAACAATACATTGCTAATTCAGAAATATAAAAAAATATGACATTAAAAATGTGCAAGCTCAATAAATTAAATGTGTTTAATTTTTTTTTAGGTCACGAGCAAATATGTGCAAATATGTATCTATCCTGTAAATATGTATCTATCAAATCAATTGATATTTATAAACGAAAAAGATTAGTTAAAATAATTTTATACAATTTTGATACACCTTATACACATTCACACACACGCATGCACACATGCACGCACGTACGCACCTACACAAATGCGTATATATATATATATATATATATATAAATAATTGTAATATACATATACGTATGTACAGTCAGGCACATAAACTGAGCATAAATTTTATTTACCACTCAAATAACATGGTTTATTGGGTTCTTAAAAGTACCTCATGTTACAATTTTAAAACCATTAAAAATGTAACCAAACAAAAAAAATTTCTTGATTTAAATTATTTAGTACTTTTAACAAAAACAACACAAAACCATTTATGCACATTTTAAAAAGTCACAATGCGTACGTGTACAAATTGTTTATAAAACGTTATTAATACATATGAACACCAACATGAACAAAAACACATACATATACCCCAAAACACATGCGTCTGTGTCTATGTGAGTAGTAATATATTACCTAGAGGTACAACAGAAAACTGCAACCACCTAGAAGACGGAAACAAAGATGATCATTAGAGGAGCACTTGTGGATACTAATGCCTTGTAAAATTCAAGTATGTGTGAATGTGAAGAGTCATATTCTTAATGGTTTGCTGCTAGTGGGTACATATAGATATATATAACAAACACTTCATGCTGCTTAAAGAGTATTTATCAATCTCATCATCATCATCATCATCATCATCATTGTTGTTGGATGTTTTGATCACACCAGATCAAAGATGCATGAAGATTACTACCAAGAAAATAATCAAAAATACTTACCACCAAGACAGTCTTTATCTCAAAACATAAATTATCCTTATCATTTTCTGCAGTTTTCTTAATAATTTTATAATTACTAAGTTCAACATAACCATGAACATGTTCAGTGTTATTAAAGCAAAGAAAAAAATGATTAATACAACCTTTGTTTCATTAATTAATTGAAATCGAAAATAAATAAATAAATAAATTAATTAATTGAAAAATAGATAACAAATAAAAAACTTAATTGTAAATTAATTTGAAATTGATTATAAAAATGGCTTAAATAAATATCTACCCATCAATATTAACACCAAACCTCTTAAACATTAAATCAAAATGGAAGAAACGAATACTTTCAAAAAAGCATTGGTAAACTTTAATAAAATACAGGCAAGGAAGTTGATTGGACAAATGTTGAGTTTTATGTACAAATAATGCAATACAAATATTTAATGGAAATTGATAGCTATTATCAAACATACTGGATAATGAAACTGAATCACGTTTTAACATTGCACAAATTGATTTTTCAAAATAAAAAAAAAAAGCATTAAAAAGGTTGTTTCTGAAAGAGAGAGAGAAAAAGAGAAAGAAAGTGAGAGAGAAAGAGAAAGGTGTTAGTATTTTGCTCCCATGATCATGTCAGTTTATCTAAACGTTTTAGTGAAATAAAAGTCAAAATACATAAAATTTCAGCTTTTAAAATAAAAAAAAACAGAGTATTTATATCAAAGTTTGTCACCCTGCAATTAGCTGTCATTAAGAAGCATGTACAAACATCAGTGTCCACTGGTTATTAAAAACTAATGTGACCTGTCAAATGTATATTTAATGATAGAAAGTACAATGATAATGTAAATAAATGAGTAAATTATATTTATATTCCATTCAAGTTTTGCATAATTTTCATTTGTTCTTTCAAATTCAAAGAATTATTTGCATCTTGCTCCTTTTCAAAGTTAACATTTTATTTCTTTCCATTGCATTTTCATTTCATTTCAAAATATTTTCTAATGTTGAAAATTTACTTATCCATTATATATAATGCTGCTTTATCTTGTACTCCTTAGTAATCAACGTATAATAATACCTTGTGCAAGCATTATGAAATGTATATGTATGTATGTATATACATTTTTTGGTTATGAAACAATTAAAAAGTTTTGGAAACACTTTCCTCATAAACATATTTCTCTTATTTCTTGAAACAAATAGTCATTTAATGATAAAATGATATATTCACATCAATCTATCACCAAGTTTCATATTATTATCATTATTAATAATTTTAAGACTTTCATGTGTATTATCAAATATTTTTTACAAACTAGTTTAATTTTGGTCTCAATAAAATTACTACAAGCAAAAATTAAGATTTCAGCACATGAGCACAGAGCTAGCCACAACTTAACCAGGCCTACGTAGTGACATCATCATCAAGTCAGCCCCGTTATAATGACCACCATCAGCTTGGTGGGGAGAATGCCCAAAGTAACTATCAGGACTGGAAATGGGGCCATAAATAGAAATTGAATCTGCAGACATCAGAACCGTCTGACATCCAATCAATGCAGCAATCTAACAAACTGCTGCCTGTGCTTATATATATATCTATTGTAGCCAAGAAAGTAGATAAATTCAAAAGTTAATTAATGTTAAGTCACAACAACAGTTGCTTCAACAATAGTAATAAAAACAAAAGAGGATAAAAACATCCTAAAAACATTAAAAGGCAATTAGCCCACCAAAAAAAGAAATATTTACTGCGCTTTCAAAGGAGAAATAATATTGATAAATATTTAACACAAGACAACATGAAATTGCCTGCTTGACTTATGTGTGTATATAAACCTTTAATTATAATTGCTTAAGGTGTAAATAAAATCTATATCAATCAAAAGTTTACAATATATATATATATATATATATATATATATATATATATATATATATATATATATATATGATGAACATATAGAAAAATTATCACTCTTTAAAAGAATTAAAAAAAATAGAACAACATTTCTAAATTTACTGTCAGTTTAATCTGGCAAAGCACTTCAAATCTCCAAATGAGCAAGCACTCCTCAATATTTAAAGTCTCATAACACCTCCTGCAACATAACAAGTAACAAGCATGACTAACAGATATTTACTGAATCTAACAAACACCAATGAATACATCTGATCAACCCTTAAATCTCCTCATAACCCCCATCTAACATACAAACACAATTGGCAAATGTTATCTACACTATTCAAATTATTTTGCAAGAACCAATGTATCAGACCCATATATTAATCCATAAATAAAGTACATAGGTAATTCTACATATATACATATAAATACACAAGTACATAAATACATACACACACGTTTATGCTGCACAAATATTAGCAATCATTTTTCGGTGTTACTATGTACTATGTGTTACTACATTGCAACTAAAATAAGGGCAAAACAAAAAAAATCTCCTTGGAGAGTTAAATTTGTTAAGTTATATATTCTTAAAACAGTTGGTGATCACTGATCAGTATGAACCAATAGAAGATATGAAGCATTCACTTGAGTCAATATGCAAACAGGCGCATTCATCATTTAGTGTTATATGTTAAACAAACAGCTCTCATATCATTAAAACTACTCCAGAGCATAATAAAGTTGCAACATAGAATCAAGATATCAAGTGCACGAGGCAATATTGAAAAATATTTAGAAGATGGGTGGTGTTTGCGTTTGAAAGTGGTTATTGGGAATTAATAAACAATAATAAACTCCCAACTAAATTTTTTAGATTATGATTATACAGAAGAATATCGGCTGCCATAAAAGGATATGCATTGGGCTAATCATAAAATTTAAAAAATTATATAATTAATTATGATATCTCAATTAAATAAATAGTTTTGGACTTTATGATAAATATATTAATTTGAATTTTTAAATTATAGCCATAAAAATACTCATAAATTAAATAAATGAATCAATGAAAAATGATCTAACTGGTTTAAGTCATATTCTATTTATGATATACAAAACTAGGAGAATGCATGTGTGTGTGTGATGAATTCATCACCCAGTTTTTTAATTTAGGTGAGAACTTATCCAGAACTTCCTAACAAACTGATAGCTACTCATATGAGACTGAAAACCAAATAAACAAAATTCAAATGTGTTTAAGATTTTGAAGCAATTATACATCTTTATGGTCATATTTGAATTAATTAAATATGTTACAAAAACGTTTTAAAGCAGCTAACAAAACAGAAAAATTAAAGTGCTGGACTGTTGTAGAATGAGCATTAAAATAGTGAAGTGGTAGATAGGCACTGAAGAGATAAACAGCAGAACATAGCAATTACATGCTTAACATCAGCATTCAGCAACCATTATGTCTACTGAATAATAAATGATCAACTACAATAACACCAGGCAATATGCAGTTGGCCTGCAACAAATGACTGAATGAAGATGAAAAAGAGGGTGGTAAACATGCAACATAAACAGATGAAGTAAATGTTTACTTCAAATGATGCAATCTTGTTGAAAAAATTATTAATGAAGTTTCAACATGTTGAATCAAAAAAGGCTTTTGTTGATAAGATCTTGCAACAAAAGACATACATAGACAACATAGAAGAAATCAATGTTAATTTAAACAATTGAAAACCATTTAAAAAGCAGAACAATACATAACCAGTAAAATGAAGAGGATTTGATGATAATAACAACAAAACATAAAAAGGAGTATCAGCTGTTCTATTTGCTAGATGTAAGATAGATTGAATAATCATCCTTTCAGTGATAAACTAGAAAATATCAAGAAATATACTGCATTTTCAATATATTCATATCAAAATACCTACAAAAGATTCTGTGTATTGTTAACAAACATGATTCATTAACACATACAGAGATGAAATAACGTTCAGCCTCTCACATCAACATTCAAGTATATATGTTAAAAAAAGTGGAAGCCCATCTTTAAACTCACATGTGGAGCATAATTCCATAGGTAGTGAAGCTTCATTCCCCTGCAATGACATATAATTTGTTTTCAAACAAATAGTCCATTTCAATTTTAACGGTCTTCAATAAAATTTTCAATTTTCAAATTCAATAAGTTAAATAATTAACATTAAGTAATATGAATTTTTCTATTAATTAGAATTCTCTATCAAAAATATCTTGCAAACAAATTGAAATGCAAATAAAAATTTTAAATAAAAAACCAAATTTCATATTTCATAAAAATAGAAAAAAGTAGAAACTAATTTAGTTTATTTTTAAATAATAAGTCAATTTATACAAATACTTTACATTTGAATTAATAAATTAATACTCATAAAAATGAAAAACTCATCAATTAATTAATGCAAAATCATAAAAATAATAAATATACATTGACATTCAATTTCTCATTTGATACAAATTGAAAAAATGTATACATTTCTTATATGATATATAAAATTTTTTATCATCACATGATGACAAAAAATTTATTTAACGCTAAGAGACTGGGACAAGCTAAGAGCAAGATATAAACTCGAGTGTGACCCAAAAGATTGAGCAAAATAAAACAAAGAACTTGCAAAAATCTTGTTATAATGCCTATTAGCAAGTAACTTAATCCACCATAAAATAAATTTTTACACATTTAATGTTGTTAATTAAAGTAAATGTTTCTCATAGACATAGGAAGTCCAAGTTGAAGTTTTAACTTTTAATTTAACAATTCAAAAGCTTTTATGACAACAACTAGCATAGCTAGCCATGTTATATTTATTTTATTTTTTATAATTTAAAATTCTACATGTATAGACATCTTTTTATTTTGCATATTTGAAAAATGCTTTTAATATATATTTATAGCTTATATATATATATATATATAATGATCAGAATGATGATATCTCAACTCAGTGTAAGTAACCAGTTTAAGTTGAAACCTAAAGAAGATGAACTGGACGATAATGAAACGCTGCAATGTTGAAGAAGACGACGTGGACTGCAGTGCAAACGTTCAAAAGGACAGAATTTTCGACTTCAAAAAGAAAAACTGAAAAACTACTAAATTCCAAATTCTAAATTCAGGCAAGTTCTGAATCAGAATAAAATCAAGAATGACACATTCCTCTTCTAAATTTACAAACAAAATGGGAAACAAAAAATTAAAGTTAAAAAATAAACAATCAGGCAAAAATTCAGACGAAAAAAACGGCTAACCATTTTTTAAAAGATACGTTGATAACCGAGAAAAATTTAATGAGCAAACCCGCGTACGCAGCTTCAATATTAGCTCGATGTGCATATACTCGGACAAAGAACAAATCAACTAATTTTTTTCGTACTTCATTTACTTCATTATAAGTATATAAGTAAATGCTTCATTTATTCTGATTTAAAAAACATAAATTCAATTTACGCTCAGAATAATTTATAATAAAATACAATGTCAAAGTAACTAGGGTAATCAACAGCATACCTTACTTTCAAATTGAATTAATCAAATTTTGGTAACAAGAATACTTTAAATTAGATCATTTTATTAATTAAATTGTATGCCCAAAAGATAGACAAAAACTCAATATACTTCAGAGAAATCTCTCATTATGGAATTGAACTATACCCCAAGCTATATTGTTGAGAAGGAAGCATTCTGCTCTGGCCTCATTATATTAATTGAACCTAAACACCTCGGTTTACAATCGTCCTCTTGTTCGCACTTTTTCTTAACTTGTGTTAAACACTCTTTTGATAAATCTGCATTTGTTTTTCTGGCCCTTTTCTCTGGAACTCTCTAATTCCTTCTCTACTTCCTTCTCTTACTACTTCTCCATTACTTACGAAGTTAAGAGCGGATTTCAATACCCATGTGTTTTCAAAATTCACAGAGGAGCGCTGTTGGACATCGCGGAAATAGCGCTTTGATTGATTGATTGATTGATTGATTGATTGATTGATTGATTGATTGACTAATTGAGTGATATAATAACCCCAATCAATTCTTATCTGCTACTTGATGATTTCCTGCATAAAGCATGAATGTGTGACGTCAGTGTTACTTTTTTCATCTGAGTAATAGAAAAATCATAACATGGCAAGTTCCAGTCTAGAATTCCACATCTGTTTAGGAAGAAATTAAAAAATAGTCTGTTAGACTCTTCCTAGGTTCAGAGAAATCAACGACACGCACAAAAATCGTATATACATGCTAAATGACGCATCACACACGAAGCATGTGATTGACGGGGGGATCTTTTTGTCATATTTTTGTCGAACCCGGCCCCCGCACGTGCAACCTTAACCACTAAGCCATCACGCAACCAAAATAAAAAATAACGCAACAAGAAATGAAGCTATTGTAGAGCAAGTCAATTGTTGGAAGTAATATACATAGAATAATCATGGAGTAATTATGAAATAACATATGGGAAAAAATGAAAACATGAAGGCGAGATTACTCAACAAACGATAAGCTTATTGTTAAAATGAATAAATCTGTGTCTAACGGGTCTAAAATTGAGACCTTATACTGCCTGGTAGACAAAATTGATGATAAGTTGTAATGTTGAACTACAGTAAAAAAAGCAGTCATGTATACGTCGAAGGAGGTGTTTGGCGACAATGTATATATGATATATGATAAAATAGATATGCAAGAATGCTGTAGGCTACTTGGCGATTCAATTGATGGAGATTACTAATAGTAAGCAATGGTTACAAAACATCATCCATTGAAAGCACCATTCAACAAAGACTAGAGCAGGATGATAACATTATACTCAAAAACAACAATGACAACGACATAATCCTATGTTACAGGAATCATGTCAACGACACATAAAATAGACGAAATCATCTTCAAACAAATCATAAAAAGAAACGTTACACCAATCAACCAAAACTCAGGATATACTACAACTGTAAGATACCACATGGTTCTAAAAAAAACTCTTAAAGACGATTCTACATTGAAGCATAATCGTATAATATACGAAATCAAATGACGACTGTGCGTGTCAACGAGATTCGTATATTGGTGTTACGAGACGACAACTTTAACTATCGAGACGTCTCACAAAGCATACACAAAAATCTCACTTACAGTCAACACAGCAACTCCAATAACTCGCCAAATTTTTGACAATAACACAAAAAATTCATCAAAACACCAACACAATAAACATAAAAATTTCAGAAGCTGTCCTAACTAATTAGTACACACCAATAACCACAAAGGAACATTGCGTAAATAGCAAACTAATTTAATTGAATGGTTGATTGATTGATTGATCATTACCAATTTGACGCCTTAAGACTTACCCCAATAACAATGAGGAACAAGAAAGTGACGACAACAAAGAAGATGAAGAAAATGACACCAATTAATTTACTACATTTCCTTTGTCAAAGAAGCTATATAAACCAAAGCTGCACTGAAAATAATTTGTGAAAAACTCGAAATAAACCTATCTGTAGGATAAATTTAGATAATAATTCTATTTTTAATAAATTGAACACTTTCCATAAAATTCTTGTAAGGAAAATTGAAAAGACGAACTTTAAATTGATTATTGCCAACAATTCTGTAGAACTTGGCCATGTCTCCGTGAGTAGTCTATCGGTTCTGTGTGTATGGGGTTCGGTTTGTTTAAGGAAAGTAATGTTTTTTTTGTTTTGTTTGTGTTTGTTTTGATGTGTCTGTTTGTTTTCTTGGGAGCATTTATATCCTGTTGTAGTCGATTGATCCCTTCCGTGTTGTATAGTTGGTTGGTTCTTCCTTAGATTCGTATTTGAAAGTCAAAATGGTCAAAACGATGTAATCTTTCACTTAATCTCAATAAATCATTTGAACTCATCATTCACAATAGCCGTAAAAAAATAACATTACCTCCTGAACACCCATCAATCACTCGCACAAATCAACTAAAAATATTAGGCATCACATTCACCTCCACACTCAATATAGCACCTCATATCAATTACATCATCACAAAAGGCTTTCAAACGCACTCAAAACACTCCGTTCACATGGTCTCAGAGGCGTCAAATTATTCGACATCACCGAATCACTCATCATCTCACGCATCAAATATGCAGCTCCCTCCTGGTCTGGTTTTGCCACGCAACAACAACTTCAGCAGCTACAATCTCTCATCAAAAAATTAATTCGCTTCAACTACCTACCTGCATCATATCCTACCGTCACTCAGATATTCAACACACTCGATTCAAGGCTGTTCAAGAAAATAGAAAATAACAACAACCACGTCATCCATCCTCTACTACCACCAATCAAAACTACAACACACAACCTTCGTCAGCGCAAACATAAATATCAAGTCGTCGCCCAATCTACATACCAGGAAAAGACCTTCATCACAAGACACCTCAAACATATTAGCACTTAAGAAAACTTCATCATTACTGAACTAGTTTTTACTTATTGATCACCTCACTTTTATCGATCACCTCACTAACTCATTAAGTCATCATTTAGTCTATTAATAAGTCATCAAATATATTAATACTCATTAAAACTTTTTCACTCACAGGCCTAGCCTTTATTTATCGATCACCTCACTAAGTCATCATCTAGTCTATCAATTTGCCGTTACTTCATTTTTTATTCCATCGTCAATTACTTTTTCTTATTTGTCTTATTATTATTATTTATTTTATTCTAACATATTTTATTCTTCATGTTTAATCATTTCTCTTCCTCACTTTTTGTATTATTTTCTCACTTATTTGTTTAATTTTGTTTCACTGCCTTGCATGTTGTTACAGTTTCTGCGTCAGTCAGATCCTGATTTTTAAAGAATAATAAAAAAAAGGTCTTGTTATTATATCCATTACACACACACACACACACACACACACACACACACACACACACACACACACACACACACACACACACACACACACACACATATACATGTATTTATTATTTAATGTGATCGAAGGCTATTGTAAAGCGTATGGTACTTTAAAACACATCTGCATTTGCCTAATTCTTCTTTGTATTTATTTTCTTCAAGTTAGCGATAATATAAGGTTATGCAGGTGTAGTTAAGCAAAATACCGGGCGTTAGTTTTTAGAGTGGGTTGAAGGTGGTAACTATAGATAGACTACAGAGTCTGTTCTCGGTTTTAATTTAATTTAATTTATATATTTCAATTATTAGATTTATATGGATAGACATAGCGACAAAGAATTTGTACCTAGTAGTAATATTAATAATGAAAATGTAAAAAATTTTTCAAGTGACATGACAAACCGTAGGCTTTCAACCAGGCCTATTAAACGTAAAAAGTTCGATGACGAATTGGTTGAAAGTAGCTTGAACAGCGAACGAGTGAAAGGGAAATTAGAATCTAAAAGTTCTGGCTGTTCTTTAGTCAATTCTAAATTATCACTATCCAAACAAAGTCTCGTTGATACAAACTCAAAACCTTCATTTTCATTTGAAAGAGATCAGTCGGTATCAGCAGCTGCAGTAGTAGTACCTCAGAAAAGTGTTACAGACAGTTCTGCAAAAGTTTGTTGTCCAGTTGTTTTAATTAATTAATAGTTAATTTAACTTAACATTTTGGCAAAACCATAGCAATGCTTATTTTAATTTATTTTATTCTTATTAAAAAACAAGTGTTTTTTTCTTTATTTTTTTATTATAAATAAAAATATTAAATAATATTTCAATTTTAACTTTTTAGTCTATCTGCTGTCATTTAACTTAATTTTTTTATGAAATTAATTAACAGAAAAAATTATATTTTAGTGCATCTCTTGTCTAAGGTAAGAAATAAAAAAATATATTATTACTAGCATGCAGAGCTGTTTTGCGAATATCTAATAAACTTTAAAAAACTTGCAGGAGCTTAAAACACCTAGCTGCAAAAAGGTTAAGAAAACAAATGTAAGTCATTTCTTTCATATCTTCTATTTGAAATAAAAATACATTTCTAATAATGTCTTTTACATTGTTGCCTTTGAATATGAAAGGGCAAACATGGATTGTCCTGGGATCCAGAAGATGATTTACTGCTTATTTTATCAGTGCACCAGGTTAATAATGTTTGCTGTAGATTAATTTTTTTCAATGTCATTATATACAATACAGTGCAATGCAATGAAATCTTTTTATTTGCTCTTCAAAATTAATAAAGAAAACAAATTAATAATGAAAAGGAACAATGTTAAACCATTTGCAGACATGTGATCTGAACACTGTCTACATAGGGGTGAAATTTAGTAGATATTTCACTTTAAATGAAATTAAAGAGAGGTGGTATAGTTTACTGTACAATTCATCAATTTCAAGGTTCTTTTTAAATAATATTTCAACAACCCTTAAATATTATTTTTTTAATACAATACATATATTTCTTCAGATCTTCACTTCAGGCAATTAAAGAACTTCACCCAAATCATGTTACTAAAATACAGAGAAGCATTCTATTTACAAAGTCGGAAGAAAAACTATTATGTACTATACCAAGTGTAAGCAAAATTGATTAGTTATGATGTGTATTAACAAGTTATTATTTTGTAAAGCTTATTATACTAAACAAATGTGTTGTTTGCTCATTCAAAGGATCCCAACCCAAGTATTGGATCATTTGAAAAACTTTTGCAAAGTAATCAAGACGTTTTCTTTTGTGGCAGGACCGCAAAGTGTCTTTACAACCATTGGCTATTAATGAAAGAATATGATTTGTTACCTGTTAATGAAGGTAAACTTTGCTTGGCTACATTGAATTCTGTCCATGGTTCATGTTAAATGACTATTATTTGTACAAATTATATCAACCATTTAATTAATTCATCAACCAAGTATACCACTTGAATGTTTGTATAACTTTGGTCGACTAGAATAACCTTGACAAATGTTACAATTTTTCAGCATATATGCATAGCAAGCCAATGAATTATCATGAGATGTTGGAATCTGTAAAAAGTAGCCAACCGAAGTAATTACTTTTTTTTACAGTTCTTCGTATAAAATTTGAATAATCTATTAAGTTTATTTATTTCTGCATAGAAACCCAAAAAATCATGAACTCGTTAAAGGTATTTTGTTATTGCATAATCAGCCATTGTCTTTATTTATGATTATTTATTTTATTCATCAAAATTTGTAATGCTTGAATATTTTTACTGTTAAGTAATTTATTACATACCGTCAGAACTTCTTTTTTGGGATAATGAGAACAGAAAAGAAATTTCAGCACTAAAATATGATGTTTTACAGATAGAAAACTTTCTTTCTAAACACAATAAAAGTTTGTTTTTTGAAAGTGTTTCAAGATTATTTCAAGGATTACTTCGAGTTCGTTTCTGCAAACTTACATTTAATGAGAATATAATAAAAAAGACGTTTAACTTTTGTGCCAACTTTTAAAAGTAATGCATATGAAATTTAAAGATATATCTTGTTTGGAGTTCAGGTCAGATGTCAGAGCTATAATTAAAGGTAGAGTCATTCAGTTTGAGATGCTTTCAGATAAGGTTAAAATTACTCTTTCCCATAAAATAAATTTATTTTAATCCATCAAAAATTTTAATTAAAACAGATATTGGTTGGAAGAAACAGCAAACTGCAAAGTGTTGATGTTGACCTGTCACTGGAAGGTCCTGCTCACAAAATATCTAGAAGACATTTCTTAATTAAAACTATACCAGCCAGTAGTGGCGAGGACAAAAAAAATGCACAAGGTGTTGGACTTAAGTTTAAATTAACGAATCTTTCCAAGAAACCTGTCTATGTTGATAAGCAAATAATCATCCAAAATTCTTCCACTTATTTACGAAACGGGTCTGACATTGAGGTTAATTTTAATTACTTTTTCACGTTATTCAATCCATCAGTTTGTTTTAGGAATTTATATTAATAAACCTTGTTGCATGTATTATCTTACAAAATTAAAGGCTCTCAAATTAAAATTCTTTAAATTGAATCTTTCTAATTGACTACTGAACATGCATTTTCACAGGTATCGTGTTTGACACTTACTTTCTACATGAACACTAATTTTTCTTCAATGTTGTTATAATTTTTGTCATGTTGGTAGTTTTTTAAACGTCGAGGCGTTTTAATAATCTTTAATTGACGTCTTCGCTGAGTACGTATGTAAAATGATTTATATTTCAATAAAAAATAAATTTTGAATATTAAAAATTGTGTTAAATTCTATCATAGAATGCCTGTTAATAATTCAATATAGGTAGATAATAGTTGCTTAGATAAAAAAAATAATTGTGCATCCAGATTTTACGTTTCTGTGCCTAATTGTCGATTGTTCAATTCAGTTTAACATTCATCAGATTTATGGCTAGTTACGTAGGCACATATACGCGGGCAGCTTACGAAGCCTCAGGCCGCACCAATAGGTTTTGAATGTTGTTGCAAGTAAAACCACAATAGAGCTAGCGATAATGACAACGGGTTTTCATTTGCCATGGCCATTGTCAGTCCATCGACGTGTTGAGATTTGTCATTATTTTGTGTACTTTTGAGCACCGGTACTTCAATAACATCCATGATATCTTCAGAGGGTCGGGGAGTTGATTTAGAGGGTGATAGTTTGGTATGGTTGTCAACGCTTGTTCTGACCAACATGTCATCTGTTACCTTAACGTACAAAAGGGTCAGCAGTGCACCGGATAATCCAATGTTGCTCCTTTATATTTCAAAATTTGCGGCAAAGTGTTATTTTTTCAATATTAAACAAAATTCATATTATTGTTGATTTATAAAATGAAATCTGCTGACTATAACCTGCAATGCAAAATTTTTTGGAAGTTCTTACTGCACACTTTGTAGCCTAATGTCCTAAAAACATTATCAGAAGCAGCAGTGCATGGCTGTTCAGGGGAAGAATAGAAGACTGAACAAAGTTGGGTGAGGCAGGCTGGTGCAATCTTCATATTCTTTCCTGTAACTCCGTTACTCGTGACCTCATTAAGATAGACATTTGCATACACAGCTACAATTTGAAATTTTTATACATGAATAAATTTCAACGTGAAAATAAAACAAACTTGCCGATCAAAGTAAATTATTACACAAACCAGGGCTGAATTTTCTAACAAACACGAAAACGTTTCTTGATATATTGTGCACCAACGTAGCACAACTGTCAAATTCAAATTAAAGCATTTCAATACGAATAAACAATATGGTGAATAGAAAAAAACAAAAGGCACTTCGACTCTGGAAATATACCATCAAATGATATTTCTAAACAGATGAACTGCACAAGGAACTAAATTAGAACAGCCTAAGGTCTACAGTGATTGCAGAATAGATGTTTAAAATTTTAAATGGACATGCACCCGAATAATTTTTGTAAAAACAGTATCTTCTGAGCGTTTGGGATTGAGTCTGTGATCTGGTGACTTTTCCAGACTTGTTTGGTGACTGATAAAAAAATTTTCAAGTGGCTGATCCTAATTCTTTGCTCACCTGGAATATCGCTTTTTCAGTTTTGACAACAGTTGAAAGTTCATCTTTTTGGCTAACATTTTGATCATGTACATAACATTTTATTCAAAATTTAATAATAGAGCGCGTGTACTGTTTTACTTTTGGGATGTTATTGAAGGCTTTTTATAAATGCTCATTTAATAATAATAATAAACATCTTGCAAATATAAAAATACTAATAGCATCTAACAAAACATACGTTGAGTTAATGTGAAAGAAGTCCCATGCCTTCTTCTTTTTATTCTGTAAATGATTTAAGGGTAGTTATAACAAACACAGAAACGGAAGCAAGATGACATAAAACGCTATACCTGTTTGTTTATACATAAATACATACATACCTACCTTCATACATAAATACATACATATATACATACATCGATGCCTTTGAACACCGCGTATTTGAAAACCAGCTCTTTAAACTTCCCTAAAGTTTAAAGAGATTGTGGGAGCCGTTCAAAGTACAGGACATTGGGTGGGCTGGTTTTCAAATACGTGGTGGTCAAAGGCATCGACTAAATTGAGGGGACAGATGATTGTAAACGAAAGAAGGAAAGAATATGACATGGAACGAGTGTTGACAGCCGTATAACAAAATTAACAAGGCAGATGAACAACGTAGGAGAGTGTGCTACAGAGAAGTTTAACGTGGAATGATATGTGGAACATGGCTCCATTAAGACTGGCGTTTATTATAAAAGCCATGTATGATCAGTTACCATCAGGAGCGAATCTTGCTAGATGAAAGGTGGCCCACGTAATGGCTTCTTGCAAGAACGCACTCAGTCATGGACGTTATACGTGGTGGCACAACAAAGTATTGGAAGCACTAGTGGAACTCGTTTTCAATGTTTGTGACGAGGTAAATTCAAGGCCATCGGGTAAACTAAGAAAAATCCATTTCCTAAGAAAGGGTGAATTGGATCAAACCACGAGAAATGAAGTATGCAACGGAAGAAGTATTTTTGATAATGGCAGAGATTGGAAGGTCATGGCAGATATGGATGGCATGAAAAACTACCCATCGTTCATAAAGGATACAGGAGCGAAACCCGACGTGGTGGTGCAGTCGGTGCCGGCAGAAATTGTTGTTCTGGTCGAACTGACTGTACCATATGAGGCTAATATAGCAGCAAGTCACGCTATAAAAACAGCCAAGTATGAAGAACTTGTTAGTGAGATAAAACAACGTGGGCTGAGGCTGGTGCAAGAGGTGTTGTTGATGTTGTTAGTTGTTCAGTGTACAGTTTTTTAAAGGATGTGGGTTTGGCGTGTAAAAGACGATCGAATTGTCTGAAAAACCTTGGACTCACAGCCGAACAAGCGTCTTAACGGATATGGTTATGTAGGAAGAAAAAGGAATGCGAGTTTAAATAGTTAACAGACGAGCTTGTTTGCGCGTAAAGCTTCCGATTATTCATCAATCCCAGATTCGGCTCAACGTGTTACTTGGCTCGTCGATATAACTCACATTGTAATATGCCGATATATGAACTTTAAGGAGGTGATTTCAAAGCGAGACAAATTGTTTGCTCAGCGAAAGACATCCAATTGATCATTGGATGTGGCCTGTTTCTCGAATGTCAGGAAGTTGAAGGGCCGAAACACTCGTTGACGGAAACGAGACAAATTGTTTGCTCAGCGAGAGACATCCAATTGATCATTGGATGTGGCCTCGCTGAACGCTCGTTATGTTCGAGTTTCTACATACATACGTACGTACATACATACATACATACACACACATACATACAGGGAGAGAGAGGGAGAGAGTAATAACTATCATACAGGTAGCATACAGGTACCTGTGTGTAATGAAGTCTGTATAGTTGCAGTTCATCACTCTTGTTTGTGCTTGTTACAGTTATATTTTTAATCAACCCATCATAACAATCTTCACCATTTCTAAGCTTTTTAACAATGCTGCTATCATCATTTGGACTTGGAGATCTTTTATTTGCCGAAGTTTTATGGTTATTACCATTGCTGTTTGATTCTGTCTTGCTATCATTAAGCATGCTGTTTCTTTTTTGAATTAGTTCTTGCGAGGATCCGAAGTGATACTTCAGAGATGGAAACAAGGCAAAAGCAGTTGATGGCAGAGCTTTAGTATAGCAAAACCACACAATGGCAAACGTCCAGCCAACAGGTCTAGGTAATTGATCATCAAATACAGATTTTAACACATCTTCGACTTTGACTTCAACAACTTGTATTAACTCGCCCTCCTCTTCATTTCCTCCTCCATACCCATCTACTTTCATGTCATCTGTAACTTTAATGTAAAACATACTTTGCAGTGTACCACTAAAATGGTTGATATTTCTGGGAGTTAAAGTCATAACAACATTTCAATTAGAAGTTAGTAAATGAAACATGAAATTAACAGATTCAGTGGCAACCTTGTTGATGAAATTGGTTCAAGGTCTTTAAAATTTATTCTGTATCCACATTCCTCCAAAACTTCTAATGCAGCAGTTTCCTCTACTGATTTATCTTTCTTATCAATAATTCCAGCACATAATTCCACAGTGAAACCTCTCTGCAGTGTATCATGTTCAATATTTACGCATGTTTCTCCATTGACAGAGAGCAGTTTCATGCCAACATCGTGCATCAAAACGGCTGAAAATTTAATCTAAATTGAATAAACTTGGGGGTACATTTATATTAGTAACAGTTTGTTAACCTGGTCTAAATTGTCTGACAAACACAAACACGTTCCTAGTGATATTGTGCAATAGAATACCACAACTGTTATGGGAATGTGTCACATCACGTTTACTTTCAACTTCACACTTTCAAATTTAAAAAATAATAAAAAATAATTTTGTTAAACAAAATTAGCTAAAATTTAGAATAAGGCATTAAGACCGACTGCATATAATATATGTAATGCATATATATATGAACCAAAATTCTATAAAAAAATGTTAAAATATTCACTGACAAACAATAATGTAAAGTTATTTGCATAGGTAGATATCTATATTATTAATGATATGTTTAAAACTGTACAAATTTTTAATACATGAATTAAAAATACCATAAATTGTGTGCACATAATATTTTGGTGCAGTTTTCATTTCGTTTCAGTTTTATTATTATCTTTCTATATTGACAATGTCATGCATGTGGCATATAATAGAGAAGATAGAGATATATTCAGACAATTACATGATTCATGATTTTTAATTATAATGTAGTATCACCACTACTTAAAAAAGAAAATACTGATATATAAATCAATATGTAAAATGTCTGTAGTTTTGCTTATAAATTTTATTCATTATTTATTTTTATAAAAAAAATAAATAAATAAATTATAACACATCATTATTTATGATTTTATTTATATATCATATATTTATTTTTTATGCTAATCTAATCAGCCAATTAATCAATCTGATCATAACATCACAAGTTATAATATAACTTATGACATCATGCATGTATTTGTATTGTATACGACTGAGCTACTCCCTGGTGATCTTATTATTCTTTAACCTGTGGGACTCATAAATTCACCTTTCACTGTACGTGATTATATTGTTATTCAATATTTATAATATTGTACTCTCCATTTTTTTAAATTAAAAATATAGTATAATATTTTATTAAATTGATTACTTTTTTAATAAAAATTTAATTTAAATTTTTAAAATCAACACCTGAGTAAATTTCACTTGGACAAGTCTTATCCAAGAACTTTCTTTTATAGATTCCAATTTTAAATCACAAATCGACTCCATTATTATAAAAGGAAATGAAACATTTCATTAATATCTAAAAGTTGATTTCTACAAAATTTTAAATAATCATGTCCTAAAATAAAAAAAATTTCTATATCGTGTTTATTTAGTCTCCAAGCCGTCGAATTGAAAATAATTTTTAAAAGTTAATTTAGATTTTGTAAATTTTAACAGCGATTTAATGATAGAAATTGAACTATAACATATACACATTTTGAATAAATACAATTTGAAACAACTTCGCTTTGTTGAGAGTAATTATAAAAAAAGTTACTGAATGCCAAACGGGCAAAAATTACATACATGGTCAGTGCATTTGAAATTATTTAAATGGGGTATTTACGATCACGCTCAATCTTCGTTCTTTTTGAACTTGAATAATATATATAGAATAATGTAATAATTTATATATGGTATGAATATAATTCAAACAATATATCAATAAATATTTGCGTCAACTTATTGTAAATAAATCATTATCATTTTACAATAGCCAAATAACAAATGAATTTAGAAAAATATAATTTAAAAAGCAGGAGTAAAAAGCATTTCCACGAATACGCATATGCACATATTAATCTGATTGAATTCATGCGTGCGTTAATTAAACAGGTTTGTGATGTTATATATATATATATATATACATATATATATACATATATACAATACATATATGCAATATTGTAGTTCGTTTAGATAACGAACTACAAACATATTAACGCCAAACATTCGGTAGAATTTATAGAATATTGTAAAAAATGTCTAAAAAATAATAAAGCGACCTACACACACAATTTAAATTTAATCCTGTAATTAAAATTAAAATGTAATAAACTTTTATCGGCAGCGTTAAGCTACACTGCAGTGAGATAATATACTCGATCTTTTTTTCGATCTAAAAGATATCGTACATTAGGAAGCAATAATCGTAAATAAAATCAAATAAGCTATTTGTGTCTAGGAGAAAGAAACAACGAAGGGGCTAGTTTATTTTTCATGGATGGTTTACTGACTAATTTGGCATCCCTGTGTAAGGAGTTGTTTGTAAACACTGGTTCATTAATCTTGTGTCCAGTTCCAGTAGTGTCCTAGTTTAACATTTTTTAAACATGCATAATTTAGTCATTAACATTCATTTAACGCCTTTTAATGTTTAGTCTATCTCAAAAGGACAGACGCTAGCAAAGTTCATCCACGACCCGAACATAACTTGAAATTCGTTCCAAGATAAGTGCTGAGCAAAAAACTTGCATTTGAATTTGCATGCATGATTGCAAAACAAAAGCCACCTATGATTATTTATTTTGGCAATCAATTACATTTTCATTACGAAATTTAGAAAAGGTTGACACACAAAAATAACACATCACCTTGGTATCAGAAACATTGTAAGTTTCCAGTCTCTGAAGTGCTAACAAGCGTGCATTTTTGTAGAACTATATTATTTGTTTACAAATGCTTTGTATTATGAAACGTTAAAAATAAGCATTGCGAGATAAAATTTCTTACAATACTTAGATGCTTCCAATCCAACAATTCACTCAAACGTTCTGTTCTATTACGCTGTATAATGCGTTGCCTTCTTGTCTGCTGGCAGAAATCCATCATATACTAAATAATAAATGAAATAATTCGTTACCATCTATTAATGAATTCAAGAATCGTTTTTGTATCATAAAAAGTTGATGTTGCAAACGTGACAGGACTAAACATTTTGAATCAATGAAAAAGAGACGTAATCAGATATTATGACGGAATCAAAAAGAATTCATTATCAAATAAACGTCTTTCTAGCATTATTTTGTATTACAGCAAATTCTACAATAGAAGCAGCGAACCAAATACGACACCTGTAATAAAAGCACGGTATAAGCACGGAGAGAAATTGTAAACGGTAAACACAAATTTTAACTAGATGGTGACATTAACAATAACCATACTCCAGTTAGTTGCTCAATAGACTCTTCAACGCTTTTGTACCTTCTGTCAACAATGTAGACACCGTAAGCTGCGGGGTCTGTAGTATGCTGCTGTATGAAACACCCAAACCCAGACAAATTGGTTGTTATGCTAGGAACTCCCATTATTGTGCATTCAGCTGGATAACAATAACAAATTTATCCAAAAGTTAAATCGATTCATTCACATTCAGTGATGAAATAATAGCATTTAAGAATAAAGAAGAGGAGGTAAAGAGCCAAGCAAAAACCAACCAAAGTCATTCACAAACAAAAAAGAAAAACTAATAAACGTAGTCAAAAAATGGGTTTCCTATAAAATAGTACAAATTTTATTTGCAATAGAAAACATAAACATGGTAAACATAAGAAAGTTGCAAAAATCTAGATGCTCAAGAAATTTGTAAAGTATGTTAAAACAAAGGAGCTGTTATGAAAAGATAGTTTGTCTTAGGTGAAAGAAATAAAACGACGCGGAAATATAAAGATTTGAGAAGTAAGCTGAGAAGATAGACGGTCTTCTTGTTGATGGAGGTAAGAGAAGAGAGAACGCAGCGGAAATACAGGACGAACCTACTCAAACTAAAATCATTTTGAATACATTAGCTTATATGCATATAAAGCGAAAAAGGTGCATCCTTCATCATCACGGTAATAAAAATTCTAACTAAGATTGACAGGCTCAACAATGAGCACTTTTTTATTTTTGTATTCTATCACAAATTAATTACAAGGAACTATTGATAATTCTAGTTTTCTTAAAAAATTTAAATGATGGCGATGATAAAATCATTTATAAGACACCTGGAGTATATCCCCATGGTTCATAATAAGAGGGAAAAACTCCGAGATGACATCCAGATGCAAAATCTTCATAGTCCAATCCAAACAATGGATTATTTGAATGAAGAAACTCTGGATGGAATATTACCTGGAAGACAATGGAACATAAAATAATGTTGATTATAATAGAACAGCAATAATAAAATAGAATTATTCAAAATGAAATTGTTCTTGCTAGGCTAACATTCATAACGTAATATTATGATATATTTTCATTCATACAATGTGAATCCTACACTTTGGGAAGAATTACCAACACATCACGCATACATTTAATTTGTCTATTCATGAATTTATTTTACAATCTACTAATTAATACTAATTTTTAACTCAAGGACAATTGTCAACAGTTTGTTCAACTTCTGCATTTAAAATTAAATTTTCATATATTTGCAAATGTGCTAATTCCTAGGATACAGTTCGGTTAGATTTTTTTGGTTGTTATGCACTGAGCGGCTTCACTATATTGCTATTTTTTTATTGAACTCACTAACATGGCATGAAACTTCAAAATGATTAATGTATTAAAAATAAATGTGAAAAGGTTAGACGCACTTTAACTCTATCTGACGTGTCATTGAAGAGCCTACAGCTTCTTAAAGCACATAGAATCGGGTCACTAACATCATTTGTGACGTTATGCGTACATATCGGTGGAAGGGTTTTTCTCTTATCAAAAATTAAATATCAAATAAACAAATTTGTCATTCATAAAAAAGCATCTTTAAGCTTTCATCTTTAAACGGTCAAATGGCCACAATTGTCGATAATAATTAAAATATTCATACGAATAATAATAATAATAATATAAAAAACACCTCATACACAATCAAACTATGATTATCTTTTGATATCTCACTGAATTATCACAAGGATGAATCAACAAATTTTTCAATACCTGAGCTGACATAATGCATCTTTTCAGTTGAACAATATCTTTTTCTGTCAGCAATGTGTCAATATCGGGAACATGACCTCTGAATAAATTAGAACAATGAGCTTCAGTTCGTACCTTACATTGCAACAACCAACGACTTCATCTTTTCAATTAATCAAATGTAGAACAGTCAAATTGTAAACCACAAAAATAATGCTCAACTGGAGAAAATTACGTGATTAAAAAAAGCATGCATTTGTGACCATATATAATAAAATAAAAATAAATAAATAAATATATAATAAAATTACGTGATTAAAAAAAGCATGCATTTGTGACCATATATAATAATATATTGTAATATTGTAATCTCTACAAATAAGCTCATGGATGATAAAAAAAAACTACGGACTGGAAAACAGATGACAGGGTTACGAGAAAACAAGAGATTTTTTAGTTATTTTCACCTTTTATTCGCATTATCCTATACTATCATTTTAATCTTTTTGTGCAATTTTTATGCTTAGCATGCTGTAACAGTCAATTTCATTTTTGTTGAGAATAAAAAAGTTTTTTCTCTTTCACCATTTAAAACAAAATATTTGCACGGAAAAGAAAACAAAAAAATTACGCCAATAATCAATATTTCGGAGGGCTCATAGTAATTAATATAAAATAGGATGCCTAAGACAGGAATCTAAAATTCTTTTGCCAATATCTTTTTGCATCTGGTTGACCACTTCTTTCAACTGCATGGACACTGCCTGGCCCCTCAACGATTCAACATTGAAGTTGTTGCATTCCGTCGGGAATATTAGAAAAGCAACAACAGTCATATCAGAATTTGATATCTGAATGTTTAAATGAAAATTGTTATGATCCAGACAGACACTATAAAAATATAATGAACAAATATCAGCATTAACAAATATTTAAAAATTAATTGAAATTATTTTTTAAACGAATATTTTTATGAAAAACTCCAAGACGGACCTTTAATCTATGATTAAGTCTGGCAAGAGATTCAATAAACATATCAACACCTTTGTTGGAAAACTCATTTCTTCCTGCACTAAAGAAATACAACGTCTTCTCCAAGTCAAAATTGAAATGTCTGTACACGTAAGTAAAATGTTGGATAATAAATAAATTCATACAATAAAGAAAAATAATAAGATGAACATTTTAGTCAGTTGGTGTAATTAAAAAAAATACTATAAAATATAAACTAATAAAACAAATTAAATGTCAATAAAAAGATTGCAAACCCATAAAAGTGCCCTCTGACAAAATTATGAAGCTTCTGTTTTGCATTAGAATGTCGGTTTTGAATCTCATGAACAAAATCTGATTTCACATTCAGACCATTTGGAAGTACCAAATCTAAAATAAATTTTATGCGAAATGTAGTCGAAAGTAATGGTAAGACTTTCAAAGAGTAAAACCACATCAATGTTAATAAGAAAGACCTGGTTTTTTGGCCAAAAGATGTTCAACTTCGAAACTCAGAATGTCTGAAATTGTGGTAAAAACATGAGCAACATGAGCACTGGCTCTTTCTATGCAGTACCTTTGATAAATGTTTCTATCCCCAGCTTCTTTGTTCAAGCTGAACTGTTTTTATTAAATTTTAATCTTTTAGAATGTTGGGCTAAATATCTGGTTAAGTGATTTGTATTAGCAGAAAAATGTCCAGAAAGAGCAGAAGAGCTAGGATTCAGTACTGTGACAATTTGGTTATATGCAAAGATAGGTAGATTAGGAATGAGTAAAGAGATACAAAATTTTAAAATAAAAAATCTAGAGTTGGGCAATTCAGAGTTGACCAAAAAATAACTATTTATATGGATTTGAAAACTGAATATAACCGACAAAACATGCACAAAAAACTAATAGTGGCTAATTTAATTTAGGACTTCGTGCTTTCCTAAATCAAAAATATAAAACCTTAGAAAAATAATAATTGCAGTATGCTTAATAAGACAATAATTTCCAATGTAATTTTCAAGACTGAAACAATTCAAATAATATTAAACCATATAGCCCACCTTGGATATATTGTTATAAAAATCAACTCTACTAGCACACAAATGTCTCCCAAGCACAGTGGCATGTGTACTGAAAATAGTAGCAACTTTTAATTTGCGAGCCCTGCTCACAATAAGTCCAACTCCTGCCATCCATTCATGAAATTGAGCAACTACTGAATGATCTTCTGGTAGATCTTTGCAAAACTTATTATGAAATAGCTAGTTTATACTGATAATTAAATAATAATTATTAGAATACAGTTAATTTCACTTTTTCAAGCAGCAATGCTGTCATAAATCCAAATACAACTGCATCAGCTGCTCCTGTGTCATTCCAAGGTATTCCAATATTTGCTTCATCCCATATTTCTTTTTTAAATTCTTCCAATTCCTTCATTGCTGTAGATATGTCCATTAAGATGACCTTTGGATAACCCTCTATCAGCCATCTACCATATACAACCTCAAGAAATTTAAAAATTAATTTTGATTAATTTTGTTTAAAAAATTCTCCTGAAAAACAATGTTTCTTTATAAATTTTGTAACGTATAGTATATGATGTGCTGAATTATTATTGAATAACATGAGAGATGAAAAAACGTACAATTACAAACATTTTTCAAAATAACGTTTTAAAAAATTTTACGTTTTAGATTTTAATTTTATACAAAATTCATAATTGTAATTTTGATTAGGAACAATTTTATAATTTTGTAACAACCCTGTATCCAGAATTTCTCAGACAATGAAGAGCATATTGAATATTTGATTTTTGTTCCGCTTCAATAACTTCTATTTCTGACCAGGTTTGTGATTCAATGAGAGGTCCAATTAGACAATAATTATCTCCCAACTCTTCAGTTGAAATAGCGGCCTTTGATTTGATAACTGTATGAATTCCTCCAACTAAAATTGAAATTACGATTGTATTGAAGTTTTTATCTTTTAATAAATAATCCATATTAAATTAAATAAATTAAAATTTGATAAAAAAACAACTAATTTATTAATTAATATTAGAAATAGAACAATTACTTTGCCTTGCTACTTCCCAAGATATTTCAAAAACCCAAACGTTACTTCCTAATAATGATTTTGTATTATTTTTCGCATTAACTTTTGCGTCGCCAGCTGCGACTCCAGCAGACGCAGACGCCATTCTTCAAAACGCTTTGTAAATAAAAACAACTTTACGTAAATTAAATAAAGAACAACGTTTTGATACTATTATATTGATAATTCAAAAAGGAAGCAATTTTAACTTTTAAACTTATGAAAATTTCATTATTTTAAATGAGCAACAAATCTTTCTCAAATTGAACCATAGATACAGAAACTGAGTTTCTAAACCTGGGAATTTTAACGCAACAACGATAAATGTCAATTGTTTACAATTTTTAAAATGGCGGAAAAAATAAGTGCTTCAAAAGAGGCATTGGACAGTAAGTTAAAACAATTTTACAATTTGTATTTATTTATTTATTCGTTTTTTAAATTCAATTACGTGAAATCATGTTTCAGTTTTGCTGGAAATATCAAATCTTCTGAATACCGGATTGGATGCGGAAACGTTATCGATTTGTGTGCGCCTGTGCGAAGCAGGTGTCAATGCAGAAGCTCTGGCGCTGGTTGTTCAAGAGTTAAGACGTGAAGTCTCAAGTTTGAAAGTATTTGTTACATATTTGTTCAATTCATTCTTGTATTTTGAATGTTTATTACTATTTATTTTCAAACAGGAAGGAGAAAGCCAATCAAAAACAGATAAGTTTATTCAGCCCCACTGATAATAAAATAATAATGAATAATAAATAAATACAATTGTGGTAAAAAGTGCAAGCTAAACAATATTTATTAATAGAAAAATTGTGTTTATAAAAAAAAATGTTTTTGTTTTACACATGATAAATTCAACAGTTGTTAATTTTCTGCAACTTCACAAGTTGCTTGTATTCTGATATCTTCATTCTTTTTCCATTGACAATGCATGTTCTTTTTGGCCTAGGCCTTTTAATTTATAATTAGTAATAATTATGTATGTATGTGTTTGTTTATAGTTATACTTAGATAAAAACTAAGATTGAATATTCCATTTTATTAGCTATTTATTTTTATTATGATGTTACAAGTTAACTGTTAAATCTTACTTGTATCTGTAATCAGGATGTATGTCCATATGTAATTTATTTAAGCGACATTGTTCTTCATAAAATGGTTGCTTTTCATTGCTAGACATTGACTTCCATTTTAATCCTTTTTAATCAAAATTAATTAAAAACTTTTTGGCCACATTAGATATTTCATGCTATTAAATGTAAGTAAATTTTATTTCTTTTTCATTTGATAAGTAAAATTGTTCTTATTAAAAACAAGCTTGTTTATGTTTTGTACATTTTACAATGTAAATTTTTTTTCAAGAATGTTACAATATCTTGTTTTTAATGTAATCAATAATGTATATTATTACTAATCATAGCAAATCAATCTAAAACAAGCTTCCAACTTACATAAATTTGTTAGACTTAAGATAGACTGTGCTTTGTGCATCTTAAAAACTTACTATAATAAATGGAGAAATAAATATATATTTGTACACATGCACTTTGACATATGTATAATTATCTGATGTTGATTCTATTTTTTTAAGGCTGTACAGTACGAATTACATAGGTTACTTAAAAAATTAAAAATAACAATTATACAGTAATTATCTGTTTGATATTTCTTTCACAGGTGTTTTAATTATCTTGCTTGATCATCATCAGCATTGTAACATAACAGTGCTAACAGACAGTTTCAATCTTAAGCCAGTTCTTGATATATATCTCTCGGTTAAAATTAAATGGCCTAAATATTTTTTTGCAAATTATAGAACCACAGCACAAATTGACTGAAGAATTTCTTCTATTCAGTGCTATCTTCGCCGCTTCTTGAATAGTATCGTGCATACTTTGGGTCGTTTGTTTTTTGTTACCTCATATGTAAGCTTATATGTAATGCATGATACTAATGTATCACTATAAGCACAAAAATTGTGAACTTGCGATGTTTACACATGCGGTTTTATCAATTATTATCTAAAAATGCTGCTCTAGGAGTATGCTTGTTTAAATAAATGTTAGAGTTTCATGAACATTAATAAATCATACCCAGTATTTTGCTGATATTTGAGTTATGCATATCCGGATAGGCTTTCAATATCTTCTTTCTTTCATCTCTTGCCCACACCATAAATGCATTCATTGGTCTTTTTATGTGCTGCCCATTAAGCTTGGTTGATGATGTGGCATAATGACCTCTACAACTGCCGATGCTTGAATCTGTTGATCGTCTTATCATTCTATTAAAAATTAACTTGTTAGGTTCTTCCACTCTCTCTTTAGTTTTTGAATCCGCTTGTAGTTTTTCATTTTTATATTCTTTGATAGCGGCGTTTTGTTCTGGACGTTTGTCTGTTTTAGATTGAAGAGTTTCGTTGAATTTAAAAATTATTTCAAACTTTTTTGTACAATGTAATGTAACCTTGTTTTATAAGTCTGTCGTTGAAACCATTTAGTTCAAAAATTTCTTTTTGTTTTGTTTCTTTTTGCAATTCCCTTGTTAGCATTGAATGATAGTAACATGACAAAGGAGATGGAATGTACTGGTTGAAGAAGATGTTGAATAAATGAGGAGTGAATATGTAAGGTGCGGCTAAAATTGGCCAGCTAGGTATTGTTGGAGGAAAATAATTGAATGGTTGTCTTTTGACACTTGAGTTCACTGCAGGGAAGTTTTGGTAAAAGTTCATTAACGATTGCCTGGCGGTATGGCTTTGTTCCAGATATTTCTGTTGAAATTAATTGTTCTAAAATATAAATTAATGTAATTGGTTATCATCCTATAGTTGTCATCTCTTTTTAACGGTGTCCTTACATGGAATGGAGCTAAACAAATGATTTAAAATGCACTACAATACTCTGTTTCAACTTTGACATAGAAGCATTTGCGTTGTTATATTCTACTTTTACTTCTCACCGGTCGTTCGACCCTATACTGCTTGAAATCTTTTTGCATCAATTCTATTTGTGACGTCATTGCTACTCCTGCATCTAGTAAAATTTACCATACTATAGAGCAATACCAGTATAAAATACAAAAAGTTTTTAGATTTATTATGCAGCTCTGTCGAAGGCAGAACTGTTTATATGTCATTCTATACTTATAAATTAGTTTTCTGGGCCACAAAAGCTTTACTACGCATATCGAGCATAGTACAAACACTTTATGTACGCAGACTCAAATACCGCATCATACGCGTGGTGTTTGATAATCGTTGGATTTCGAACTGACAGTATTCAAACCAGGCCATCGCGTAATAGCTTGAAACATAGAACTTCTACTGAGCTAACTTGCCGATCTCGCCGACTGTAAATGTGAATTTGCTCAAAATCTGAAATATCGGTCGTGAAAAGTTGTTTGCGCAGTTTGCTATCACAATTTTTTAACTGCTGCCACTGCGGTTAACTATTTGTGAAAACTGTTTTTTTGAACATATATTTTGAAGCAAAATATGATTGGTTCTGGAAAGATTGACTGTTCGAGAAAGTCACGAAAATATTTTACCTACTGAAAGGTAAAATATAAAAAAATAAGCATACACAAATTGCATAATTAGTCAATATTTTTCAGAGTTTTTTTCAAGCAATGTCACCAATTTCCATTTTTATATCATTTTTTCATTTGCGAATACGAACAATAAAAATAAAGCTAGTATCTGTTCCAATCCTTAAAATTATCCGTCGCCTTTAAGTAAACAGTGTTAGAGTCGGAAATATATGGTTTCAATTATTATGAAGCTGTAATGAGCTTTGGAATTTTGAAAAAATAAAAAAAGTAAAAATTTTAATTTCAGTCTGAAAACTTAACTATAAATAATCTTACATTTATGGATAAAACGCATGTTCATTATAGTACATTTTTCATCATTTACAAAGCTTAGTTGCAATTAGACTTTGGACCACGAACGCTTTGAAATATCCAACTCACGACGTATAGGCTACCAATTATGCATGTAGGCATCAGTACGCACCATAACTAAAATATGTGAAATAATTTTTATGTTATGGTCAGACAGCATTTAAAGCAGTTTAACTAACGTTAACGCGCAATAAAAATGATGCAAGACAACGACACTTTCGGTCAACTGCTTGGAGAAACTTCTTCTAGATTGGTATATTAGGTCACCTGCTTGTGAATGCATCTTGCCCTATTCACGACAGATTATCAGAGCAATAACACATTTCATCCTTATGTTCAAAAGCAAGTTCCCAAATCAGCATTGTTTCCAAGCTAAGGTTTTTTTCCCACAGACGGCAACGTTTTTTGCTTTTTTTCATACACTTCGGTACGCGTTTGCATTCTACTCCAAATAAAAATCGTTGAGAAGTTTTTTTGTTTTTCATTTCGTTTAATTTTTCTTAATGAAGCTTGTATAAATTAAAAAAAATTTTATGTGGTTGAAAGAATGTTCTGAAGAATAAGGTACTAGGAGCGGCTGTTTGTGATGTCACTTTGAGCAGAAAATGTCACTGTGAAGAAAATTGTCGTTTTAATCACAAGTTTGAAGCTTGATGTTTTAATACAAGTTTGCTGTTTTTTATTCTATCTATTTGTATTAATTATAGACTTGTATCGTTGAATTACACAAGGGAAGTGTGGTACTTAACAGAAAAAATGTTCTTATTAAATTATATCTTGTTATAGATGACATTAAAAATGAGTAGGTTTAAATGTTTTCACATTTAAAAAACAAACAGCGCATGACTTTGTATGTCACGTGTATGAATATCGCGCAAGTTGAGAGATGCTTTTTATAATTAATAGCATTAACAATTAAGTTGTCAAATGAATTAATTAACTTTTTTATTTAAAAAATGAATGAAAATATCAAATCTTCGAACCGTTTTGTGGCTTAGTTCGTTTTCTTCTTTAATTATTTCCCATTCTTCTTTGTCTTTGCGGTCATTGGGCATCATGATATTCGATGTAACATTCAGGAACAACAAACAAATCAGGGATGAGTTTTCCTGTTACGAGCGCTACGGACCGGGCGACCGTTCATTTTATTGGCGTTTCACGATACATACACTGTGCATGTATATTGTATATTAACTCTACATATGTTCACATATATGTTTATATATTATTATTGATACATAACTTTAATCTTTTTATGTATATCAAAGTTGTGATACGTATGTAAATGCTATATACTCACACACTAAAATCTTGACATACATTCAGAGTTATTCGCTATACACTTGATATAACGTACATCAACAGGCAACGCAGCTTGTTAAAATAAAATGCCAAATAAAAAAAAGTGAAAAATTCAAAATTTCGAATTTCCAAAAAAAAACTTTTTGTTTATTGATCGTAGATGAATTCAGCAAAGCTCTCATTGTACGAATAGCAGAACATTGGAGCAACAACAACGATGAAAATGTGCAACGATTTTTTCGATTATTAACTCCATACAAAAGCCTCGCTGCAGCAGAAGTTGTTAAAATCTAATAAAGCCTTTTGTAGAGCTTTCATGGTTTAAAAGTTTAAAGAGGGGGTAGGAAGCGTTTCATGTCACGGTCCATCCTGTCTGCAGACCTCGCTGTGTGTGTGCGTGCGTCCTCTTACGCGGCACTGTGCATTTGTGTTTCAGGTCCTATTCAAACAAAATTAATAATTTACCAATTTAGCATCGCAAGATTAGCTAGCAAGAATATAATGTTCATTAATGATTAGTATTGCAACTTTTTCCGTTTTAAATTTAATTTATATTAAATTTTGATGTACATTTTAATTATACAACGTCACCACCTTCAGCAGCAACAATTATACGCGCATTCAACGTATGACTCAAAAGTTCTTCCGATATTGACGTGGACGGCGTGCGTCGTACGATTACAAATGAAATTTTTGATGTCGAGACGGAAATATATCGACATTTAGCACATTGGGACAATTCGAACTTTCAAAAAACGCATCCGCTATCGATACAACTTTTAAAACTAATGTTTTCAAAAAATTCTGCTACTGAAAATTAATGTTTTATTTTACACTGAGTTCATATTTCGTTAATGCTCTAAAATTACAGACTGTCATTTTTTAAAATAAAACAAAGTATATTTCCACGGAACAGTGTCATACATTCCGGCTGTAAATTTTTAATTTTTTCACATATCCACTTTTAGCATTATATTTTTTATAAATGAGATTTTTATTGAAATAATATATATGTATATTATATTATATAAGTTCCTGAAACATTTATGACTTTCCATGGATTCTTTTGGTTGTTGTTCAGATACTTTGCTGCTTTGCTAACTAGGTGTACTAGTTCGTACAATTTTCTTTTTTTGTCAACGAATGTGTTTTCTAATATTTTAATTAGCGTTTCTTTAATAAACAATTATATTTAAAAACAAGCAACGAATTTTTAAATTGAACTCTCTGATAAACTCCATTTAATTCTTGAAAGCGTAAATAGCACAGCATCATTTATACGTTTCTATGCAAAGTTTAGCAATGATACCATGTATGATGTATGGCTTTATATGCATTATAATATTCCCTCGTGTTTCGTTGAAAACTGATTTTCAATCCAATTTATAAAAGCGTATTTCACCTCTTCTTATAACTTCCGTAGAGGCTCAACAGTATCCGTTGTTAAATATACGTTTGATTTGACCACACCATACGTGTCCCATGATAAATTACAACAGCTTCAAACTCACAAGCTTACAACAGTCTCATCATGAATTTGAACCAAGTCACCGAGCAATTCGTGTGCTCATCAATAACTTTTCATTCATCTGATTTGTATCAACTTGCTTTTAATAGTTTTTACCAAATGTTTAATAGTTTTTACCATCAACAGGCGTACTTTATATTTACTATACTGACTGACTGATTATCCACAAAAGTTGAACAATAAAAAAACTTACTGTCTTGCTGTCAATCATTAAGACAAAAGTTGCGTCGTTTCAATAGAAAGAACATTCTGACGTTTGATGTGCATTTGAATTGATTTGGGACGACAACACTGCTTACCTGCTCTCTTGCTACCTACCTGCCTATCTATCTATCTATCTATTCATCCATCCGTCCGTCCATTCATCTATCCATCCGTCTATCTATTCACCATTTACAATTATCTATTTTATCTACCGATCTATATTTGTTGTGACATGAAATTTTGTGCCACAAGTTGTATCGTCTTTGTTCCTCTTAATGCTGTCTTTATTAAACATCATTTTTGTTGATACTAATATTATTGATAACAACAACAACAACAACAACAACAATAATAATAATAATAATAATAATAATAATAATGATAATTGTAAAATAATGATAATAATATAAATAATACTAATCACGGAAAACAACTATATTCAGTTTACTTTGTTCTGAAAAATGATCATTGGTCATTGGGAAACGAAAAACAAAATCTAATTGGTCGAAATAGCAGCCAATGAAAAGCGAGTGTTTGCAATATTATATTTGTAAAAAAAAGTGGATTTAATCTTTGATAATGTTCATTAATTATGTAGGATATGAAAATAATCTTTATGAAACTTGTGAACATTTTGATTCGTCGTCATCATAACTATAATGTAAATTGACCTATCTGTTTCCTGAATGTAAGTATGGGAAGGAGACCATATTTTATACAGTGCAATAATGTATGAATATATACACACACACACAAACACACACACACACACACACACACACACACATATATATATATATATCTGTGTGTCTGTGTATATACAAAACTGCGTTTATAATTTTTTTATAAAATCTGTGATTTGACTTTTAAACAGCATTTTTTAAATGATAAAATTTGTTAACACATTAAAACCGAGCAGGAAGACACAGTGCAGAAATTTTTTCAGTGGCAGAAAAAGAGACGCTCGAATATCAAACATTTGTTGGTGTGATGGATATTGATGTGTCACGAGGTTAACTGAATTGTCCACCCAGATAGCGATAAAGAAATATAATGACCACTTGTGTTTGTGAGTGAGTGTAATAATCATTATGCGTTCGTTCGTACGTTCGTATGTGACCGCATTCATATGCATTATGCATGCAATCATTTGATTGTCAGGTTTGATAACGATAAGCGGGTATAATTGTATTTGTTTTTGCATGTTGCAGCATCTTGTGGATAGAAATTGTAATAAAAGTATATAATTTAAAAATAACAAAATGCTTCATTTATAATATTCTAATTATGAATCTGACGTTCGATCATGTCTATTAAATTAAATTTGTTTCATTTTAATTTGTATGAGGATTTTTTCGTTTTTCGTTATTTAACAATGATTTTCATATGTAAAACTGAATTCATGTTCTTATTGAATGAATACTAAACACAAAATAGTACTATCCTCCCGTAAACATGGACTCAAGCAAATAATTTGATTGAATCAAACCTTATAACGTCTTTCATGTGAATTTTCTTCGCATGTTGAAACGTCTGTTCCGAATAACCCCATGAATCTTCAGTTGATGGATAGCTCGATATCATTGCAATAACTCCTCAGGCTTTCTTACCTGAAGTTCTTCAGTGACATGAACTTTTTTGAATGAACCTTTTAATGCTGACGTGAGCGTACAAACAATTCCATATTATTTTTTGTGAATGATTCGATTTCAAAATACGATAATATCAACCACACACACTCAACACGCACAAACTCATACATATATTTATGTTAAAATATACTAAATATTACGTTTGATATTTTAATAACAAAAAATATCATTACAGCATAATGTTTAGAGACTTAATAACTTTGTCGTAGAACAAATACATGAGACATGAGTCGTATGTATCATCCCGTAACAAAGTATAAGCAGTAGTGATAACAGCAACAAAAAGTAATGCCACTATTTTCTAAGCTTAGCTTGCAACTGCAAGCATATCGATCCAGCTAATTTTGTTAACGATGCAGACATGCTTCTAAACTAACTTAACATTTTGTGACATTGGACTGAACTTTCTTCTTACGAAAAATTTCTCCAGATTTCATTTATATTTCAGTACAAAAAAAATCATCCTATTCTCCAAATAATAAAACGAATTAAGTCGTTAATTGAATCAATTTCTCAAAATAGGTATCATTTTATTCTTAATAGAAAAAATATTGATATAAATACTGTAAATTAAATATTATTATTATTGAAGTATTCAACAATATTCGATATTAAAAAAATCTGTTCGTGAAAATTTTTACATACTACTAACAAATTCAACCAATCAAACGTTTGAAATATTTTTGTTATTTTTATTCTTCATGAACCCCTTGAAAAGATGTCCCGCTGCATCTGTGTTGTTCGTCTTTTCCAACTTTTCCTCGCCTTTCTTCTTCTCTCTCTTCGATTCACCGCTGACGCTCCATTTTTTATCCATACTTTTCTCCACGTCTAGCCAATTTTTCCACACCTCGTAAATGACTTCTGTGGTGGTCACGTGATCTGTATTGTGAGCTATCAGTCTCAGGAGTAGTTCGCCATCTTGCATGAGATACTTCCGGCAAAACCTTTTTATGTTGCGGTTGAATTCGTGCACATCCTCGCTTGCTATCAAGACAATGTAATCTGCCCTGAATGTTTCCAATGATAATTTCATATTAATAATAGTCAGTTGTATGCTTCCTTATTTTCCTCTTACATTCATGACGATTCGTACGTATTTTAGAAATATAACACAACACGTGGTTGCATTGCATTAATAACTAACCAGTTGTCTCGACGACAACAATAAATTTAAAAACAGCATTCAATAGTATAAGCCATGTTCTTATAAACGGCAGCATTAAAGTGAACTTCGAAAACATCTTAGCAGGAAATATTTTAAAATCGTTATAATAACGCTGATCTACATTTCACTAATGAAGTAAGAATTATTTATTAATTAGATGTGAAACAAATATCATGTGACTATCATGTTACCCTCTAATTGGATTGGGTTGTCCATGTGTGTAGGATTTATCATTGGCATTTGATAGTTTCTCTATGGATAGTTTCCCGGATCTCTCTTGTGATACAACTGTGTCTGTGCAGTGTACGAACAAACGCTCAAATGTTATGATTTCCAATTATATTTCATGTCTGTTATATATAATTACGACGTACAAGAATACAAGACCATTAAACAATTTAATTACAACTATATACTTTTATATAGTAAATCGCCTAACAAAGTACTCTTTTCATTATCATAATATAGCAGTTAATCACACAGAGAGGTTATACAAATCTACCGTATGTAGATTTCGGTTGTTTTGAGGCCGGTTGTTGTTCTAAATTTTTTTGTTCTTGTTTCAATCCAGTGGCATCCAGGACATGATTCTTAACAAACCTCTCCCTGTCTGCAGTGCAGAGACTTCTGAGCAGCCACATGAGCAAGCAGCAGGAGGTCGCGACGGCGAGGAACATCATCCAGCACCAGAGGAACAAATAGATCTTCTCGTTGTACGCGTTCACCGGCAGCACGCATTGAAGTGTGAAGTTCTGACGATTCCCCGCATCTAGGCCTATTATCTTTTTGTTTGTTTTGTAATTTGCAGGTTGAAGTTATTACATAACAATTTATAAAAAATTTAAATACGATTGTATTAAGAAAAGCACATACATTGATATCGCAATAAGTTTCCCTTGGGAAAACAACTTCCTCCTCAATGGTCCAATCGATCTTGTCAATAATCTGGGAAAAGAGATGAAATCCAAATTGGAAGAAGTTGGTCGACATGAGTCTTCCGAGGAAATATAACTGGGCGAATATATTTAGCAGATAGAAGATTTTGGATATTATGAAGATGATTACCAAGTAATTGCCAATTCTGAAAGAATTTTATAAACTTTTATAAAAATTTGGTAAAAAAACGTTAATCTATCAAATCAATATTAACTATTTAAATTGATCAATTTATATGAGGAATTGAAGTTTTACCTCGTGCCAACGCACTGCCTCCCCTTGCAACCGCAACAATTTTTCTTTCTTTTCTTTTTATGATCGACCGTGTGGCTTTTAAGAAATCTGTGTATCTGCTGAACAAGCATTTTCATCGTTCGATCTCTCGTCTCCACTTTATCAGTTAATGAAAATGTGTGGGCGGCTGCTAGAATGTTGTCAGCATCGACACCGGACCTGCTGTTCAAACTGTGCCATATGACTGATGGAAGGTAGAATAAAACTGCCTGGAGAATATTCAATAAAAATTAACCATACACTTTCGAGAATAGTTAATTCTTGTACCAACTTGAATTAGCTAGTTAGATGTCACTTCAAAAGTTTTTGCATATTTGTCAATTTTGAGATATTAATTAATTTTTAAATAAAAAACCTCAACCTGAGCAACGAGAACAAAAGGTATCCATTGATAATAAGCAACGGTTTGTTTGTTTGAATTGCGACCAGCCTGCTCCAGTATTGTATCCCACGTTATGTAGTAAGTGTTTCGAATCCAGCAGAAACTCGTCGCAAACTTCTCGTTACCTTTATTAAATAATTTTAAATAATTTTTATTTCAAATGTTTTTAATATATGTAAAAAAGTAAACAATAAGAAGGACTGCAAAAACGGCAATTCGGTAGCTTATTTGGTTATAACCATGTCTCAACTTTACAAACATTCGTGGAGACGTTCGTTCGTGTTAACATGTAACATTTTAAATGAGCATATGAAGAAAGCAAGATTTTAAAAATTTGAATTCAATTACTTTTAATTGCACAAACATTAGGTTTTTGTATCATCAATATTCTAAAAAAAACTCTAGTTGTAGTTTGCACGATCATAATTAATATTTAGTCATTTATTGCATGAAGAACACAAAATTATATCATAAATTTTCAACACAACTATTATTTTGATAGAAAGGTCTTTGCAACGAGAAATGTAATTTATTGATAATTTGAAAACTATGTAGCCAATATGAGGCTCCGGTTTAAGATCATCTTCTCGTTCTCACATCATCTTCTTAACTCTTGTTGAACAATCTTATATTAAATCTGCGTTTGCTTTTTCTGACCCTTTTCTCTGGAATTTACTGAGGCATACATTGATGATGTGGCAGTTTTCTCTTAGACTTGGGACGAACACATACAGCATCTACAGATTTTTTTTGCTGTAGTGAACAAAGCAGGATTAACGTTCGATATAAAAAAATGTCGAATTGCAGAAGAGAAGATACCATCCTTGGGACATGTGGTGGGATCAGGAAAAATTGACATAGATCCCAAGAAGCTACAAAAGCTGCACAATATCCGATCGCCTACTACGAAGAGGGAGGTACGAAAGATTTTGGGATTTTTTAACTATTTCCAGCGATTTATACCACAGCTCGCCAAAAGACTTTCTAGCATTACTGATTTGACTAAAAGCCGAGCAAGTAGTACGATACGATGGACGGTAGAACATCAAAAGAGACTGGACGAAGTTACACAACCATTAAGGAACGCCACCAGCTTATACACTATCGATTACACACGTCCTTTTGGTCTGATTACTGATGCTAGCGATCATACTATTGGTTGTTGCCTAGTACAACAAGATGACATGGCGAAAGAAAGACCTGTTGCGTTCGCAAGCAGGAAGTTTTCAGATGTGCAAAGACGTTGGTCAACCATTGAGAAGGATGCATATGCCATACTGTGGACAATACAAAATTCCGAAGTTGGATTTGTTTGTTCCCGATCTATGTTTATACGCATCCTAATCCGTTGACATATTTGACAGAAACTGCTTCAAAAAGTTCGAAATTGATGAGATGGGTGCTAGCCTTGCAGGAGTGTGATCTACATATCAAATACCGGGCGGGAAGTAAAAACATCGCGGATATACTTACAAGGATGATGATGACCGAAGAGGTGGCTGATGAGGAATGTCGGTAGGATGGGAGTGAATATTCCACCTCGTAGAATATTCAAATTTTTGGGGGAAAGGTATGTCAGGGTTTTAGTTGCGACCGGTAAATTAATATGCAAAGGGTATGAATACATTGTGATAGTGGTGATAGACGAATGGCAAGAAAGCAGGTAAAAATAGCAGCCAATCCGCGGGGTGTACAGAGTTGTTTAAATAAGTAGGCCCGGGAAGTTTGAAAGAAAAGAGAGAAAAAATATAGTTCGGTTGGTGTTGGCGAAAGCTGGTCGGTAGTAATTGGTGGTAAACTAAAAAACTCTCGAAGTTACGCTGGTAGTTCGTGCAGTTAGTGGAAGCAGTTACGTCGGTGGTTGGTACAATTGACGGAAGCAGTTACGTTGGTGGTTGGTACAGTTAGCAGAAGCAGTTACGTCGGTGGTTGGTACAGTTGGCAGAAGCAGTTACGTCGGTGGTTGGTACAGTTGGCAGAAGCAGTTACGTCGGTGGTTATTAAATTCCACAGTAGTCAGGGCAAACCTGATAACGAACGACACGTCAATTCAGCAAACGTGAGTTGACAACGCGTTCGACAGCCTACCTGTCACTTCAGCAGGCGTGAAGCGACAAACGATACGTCAGTTCAGTAACGTGAGTTGACAACACATTCAAAAAGATACACACCAATTCAGCAAACGTGAATTGACAGTGTGCTCAACAAACGACGCGGCATTTCAACAGCGGTGAAGTGACAACACGTCGGCAGTCAACGAGGCCTCCGCCAGAAGCTCCGAAAACAACGTGACAGCCGGTGTCCACATTCGCAGTCATCGCTACATTTCGGGAACGATTATAATTGTTATTGTTGGGAACAGCTGTTGAACCCTTACACTCATCATGATAAGGAAAAAATCTTACAACAAATTGTTGTCGTTGTTAAGTGTGGCATGTTCCCGTAGTAGTTTGCCATCTGCCACCATCACAGCAATCATTACATTGACACCATAGCAACATTTATGTGATTTGATTAGCTGGTGATCAGTTGGAAGCAGTTAAGCAATTAATTTTATTATTCAACCAGCAAAAACAAAGCATTTGCTGTTAAATTCAGCGAGTTACGTAATACAAATTCGCTTGCACACCCACTCAAATCAAGACATTTCTTCTTAAAACTGAAACCTCGAACAAGACAATAATCGCACTTCATGGTTGTTTAATATCTAAAATAATCAGTAGTTGAAGTGGTTGCTGTAAAGGTGAACGTTTAAACGTTTAAGAAGTGCTTGCTGTAAAGGTGATACGTTTAAGAAGGTGCTTGTTTTAAATTAGTTATCTACATTGGTTTGTTTTGAAAATAATTCAAATTAATTATCAATGATGACAAGGTGATTATTTCTCAATATAAAAATTATAAATTTTTCATATAAGATATGAAATATTAAAGTCTTTTTTACTCTCTAATTTTAACCGTATTAGCTGTAAGTTTATTTTACTTTATTTTTAAGGCAAACAACGGCAAGTTAACATATTGAGATGGTTTCATTGAAACACTTGTTCTTAAAATACTTCCACTTAAAGATGAAAAAAATTCATTCTCACTTTAATTTCACGTAGCTTATTATTTGCATACACTCAAATTGAGCAAATTATTCAAGTAATTTAATAAATGCGGACTTCATAAATTAAGAACTAGGCCATGTACTTGCCCACCTAAGCAATAAAGCGTTCTTTGTTAAGTTACTTCGCAGGTTGTTTGTTGCAGTTATTTTAAGAAACATGTTGCGTTAGTGTTGTCAGAGCAGTTAGTATTGCAGTTATTATTAACAACATTTAAAAAATTAGACTACTTATAATGTAATAATAATAATAATAATAATAAGAAGAAGAAATATTCTTAAAATTGTTGATTTTTATAAAAGGCAAGTGTAATCCAATAATCCTTTAATGATCAACAACCTAATCTACAATCAGTCAAGGCATCCAAAGTAGAAGACATTTGGTTCCGCTTCCCAGTGGCTGGGTTTGACTGCGGAAATGTAAAGCGTGCTAGATATAACGCGAATTCACGTACATTGCGTGTTCAGGTAAATCGTTTTAAAACATTGAATTGCGATGAGCAAACAACAAACCTTTAAGAGAGGAGGGTATCATGCATGTTATTGGATTCCTCACGTACTGGTTCATGCTAACGAGCAACGAGAAACAAATCAACATGACAACCGTGTACCTGGAACTCAATCGATCTATTACGTCATCGTCATTGTAGTCACGTGATTTTGGCGCTTTTTTTATTAAACCCACTAGTTTATCCATGGCTAAGTTTATTGGTTCTTTTGATTTACGTTGTCACAAAAAAGTTGAGTTGTTGTTGGGATGTTGTGTGTTATTTGACTTTTAGTCTCCAATAGTGTTTATTATAACTATTTATCTTTTAAATACTACTTCACGCATGATAACAAATGTTAACATTCATTCAAAAGTTACATTCATTCCTTCGCGAGGAAACGTTTTCAAAACTAATTAACATTTAAAAAAATATAATAATTCGGTTTAAGTTGGAGTCCAAGTATTCAAATTATTCAATAGCAAACATGAACTGACGTTACATTATAACATACTTCTATATTATTATACCACTGAATTAAGTATCAGCAGTTTTGAATGTACGACTACGCGTGAACAAGATTACATTTGTAAATTTATTTTATTTGGTATTTACTTACCACTATCCATGTTTAACTAATTAAAAAAAACCTTCAACAATTCATTTTAAATTATTCAAAGTAAGTTGAATAAACGTCTATACCCTGACACACGTTAATACTTATGAAAAACAAACAAGTAAGTGAATTAAATAATTTTTGTCGTTACTGAACTATCGCATTCACATTCATGTTGAAACCTCGTTGAAGCTTTCATTGTTTCGAACCAAAAAATGTTAGGGACATATACACATGCACTTGGTTAATTATAATAAATAAATAAATGTATGCAGACTTCAATTTAATAGTAAGTACATAATAAGACTAATACATATTCATGATTGCTGGATAAGTATCAAACATAAATAATTATAAATACATATAATTCTATTCACTAACTGTTACATACAGTTCATCGGCAAATATAAGCTTCTATAACACATGTGCTGTACATGTTCATTACAAGCGTAGAAATATAGATTGAGCTTATTTAAACAGCGTAAAGATCATAGTGTTGCAAGCTGTTGTATGCATGAGGCGCGTCATCTTATTTATCAGCTTGTGACTCTCTCTTTCTCTGAAGATCTCATTATTATTATTCATTTGCATAGAAAGTCACATATTTCGTATGTATTACATTTTTTTATGTAAATTAACATGTGGAAATAAAAATATTGAAATTAATTAGTTGGGATATTTGTTTAGAACCATATTATTACGACAGTTGGGTGTAAGGTTGTTGTATAATGTATTGTATCAATTCGACGTATAATAATTATACCATTCAAACTCATATAACGCACAAAAGAGGTTTCGCCATTGCATTCACAAACACAAGTTTTTGACAGATTTGCAACCACTTGTTCCGAAAATAAAGGTAAAAGCTTAGTCATGTTTCTCAAGAATTCATTAACGTTATGTAAACGATTTCAAAGAATAAATTGAACTTGTGCAAAATAAAACGCGTAACTTTTTTCCTTTAAAATGTTACCTGAAAACATTATGCAATTAGTCATTTAAATTAGAATATTTAAAATAAGATCAAATCGCAAAAGGACAACCATTAGAAACTCCTCGACCCGTTGAAATTCAAATCTAATTTTGAATGAAAGTTGCTCTGTTTCCCATAGGTTATCTTGCAAAAGCTCAAATAAATGTTTGAATAAATTTTCTCCTCGAAACGTTTAAACACAGATACTTTAATATCATAGTTTTCAATTCAGCAAAAAGGACCAAGTGGTTTAAAATGATTTTAATTGCAGCAGACTACGAACGAATGTCTAATTTTCTATTCTGTCATTTGACTTTGATGATGTTTTAATCTTTCGTATTCTCGATTGAACGGATAAGTGTTATTGAGATATATAAATTATTATCATTAATTGAACTTATAAAATACCGTTTAAATTACAAATTTATAGAAAATATAAATTGCTTCTGTAGAGAATCAGATCAACAGCCGTCCACTACATATCCTCAATAATTTCTTTTTCAACTCATGCCTTTCTTGCTAATTTATCTCTGTTTTTACAGCGATGGTCTGATTGTTTTTTTATTCATTATTATAAAACGTAGTTCGATTAAAAAGGAAGCCCGACACATAGCTTCATTTTCATTTCATACACTTCATTTTCTCAACTTTTGAGTTTCTGGTTTGCTTCATGCTTCCGAAAATAATGATGGCGGGTGAAAGATGTGAGGCGTCTGTTTGTTAAATGTGTTGATGTTGCTCTATTCAATATTATCACGATTGTTTAGTAACTTTCTTTGCATTAACGATAACAATAATAATAATAACAACAAAAACAGTAATAATAATAATAACAACAATAATAATAATAACACTGGCAACAAAGATCAATCAAGCTAGCTAGAATAATTAAATAAATTGTTTAGTTTGAAGTTATGCTATATTTTTTATGCTGTGTCAAAAATGATGTTATTACATTTTGATCAAAAACCAATTGCAAATATACTGAACGTGTTTAATTCATCAACTGTAAAATCACGAATATAAAATAAATAAACACTACTTCTTGTAGTCAGTTAAAACGAGGAATTTTATGTAATTTCAAGCACTGTTCAGTGCATTCTTTATTGCTTTCTACCTTTAAATATAAATGCTTATAAAATTTGCAAAATAACATCAATGCAAAACAAACTTTTACAATTTTGTAATAAAATTAAAAAAAAATAATAATTTAATAAATTTTGAATAATATATATATATATATATAAATTGCGCATTTTAACATAAATATATGCATATGAAAAGTTACTTAAAAACACGATATTTCAATTCAATTATTTCAAATAAATTATATTTTATTATTATTAAATTATTAAATAATTATTTCAAATAAATGAGAAATGATTTGAAAAGGTAACATTTTTCATAGGACAGATGTTATTTATTACACTCACAACACCGAACTATAACTAAGGATAAATAATAATAATTATTATTGTTATATTAACAATAAAAACAATCATAATAATATACCTGAAATAAAAAATATGATGATATTGCTTTTGTGCATTAATTGATAATAAAATTTGTCACAATTCCTTGATATCTTCTTGAACTACAAACATATTAACGCCAAACATTCGGTAGAATTTATAGAATATTGTAAAAATTATGGTCTATCACCAACATATATATATATATATATATATATATATATATATATATATATATATATATATATATATATATATATATATAATTACTTATGTAGTTCAAACATTAAAGGTTATTATTTTTGCAATTATTTTAACATTGTAAAGGTAATGGTTAATGACTTTTAACAATGAAATTAATCATTGTGGACAAGGAGTGGGCAAACTTTTTGCTGTGAGGGCCACATTGAAAACTATTTTACGTTTGAAGGACCGCATTTGTATTTAAAAAGCTAATTTTTTCGACCACCCGGGAGAGAATTTTTTTTTAAATTTTTGGCTCCTTTTTTTGGTCATAATATCTTGTGATGACCTATTTTGGCAAACAAGACCTCGCGGGCCGCATAAAATGGCTTCGTGGGCCACATCGCGAGCCGTTGTTTGCCCAGCCCTGAAAGAAATCATTTCGGGGGGATCAACCTGTTTCTGTTTCATCGTTGAAAAAATTTTTTTTCAAGAATTTGATGTTCCTTGTTGGATTACATATTATCTTTAGATTATTCGTAGTTTAAAATATTTTTAATAAAAATTTTGACAATTTTAACAGCTTATGTCATTAACCCTACAACTCAAACAGTACATGTGTCTAAAAATAAATAAAAACTCGCAGTTAGTTGTAGGTCTATCAAGACCGTGAAGATGACTGTCTGTAGAGATGAAAGGTAGGAAGCTCGTTAGTGATAAATCAATTGCAATAAAATATTTCAGTACAAAAAATTCAATAACATTCAAAAATTTTTAAAAATGTTTTAATAAGCTTTGATTAGTAACTTCGAAAATGCGAAAAGTTTTTCAAAACGTTCGCTGGATGGAGATAGGCAATCGTTTAGAGAATTTCAACTGTTTGATCGGCTGTCGTGTTTGAAAGTACATGTTGCTGATGCTTGTTTTCTACTCCATATTAATTTTTAATTTGTATAATTTATAAAAAAACGATTATCATTATCAGGAGTTTCGCCCTTGCACAGCATTCAACATCAATCACTCAATCAATCAACTACTCAACAATGTTACTAACTACTCAATAATCACATCAATCATTCACTCAAATAAGCCATTCTCTCTATCTCTGCCGATCTCTCCATCCAAATTGAATGACGTAATAACGGCAGCCATGTTGGTTGCGATGAAGAGAAGTATGGCGGCGTAGAAGCCAAGGTCGTAATGAATTTTGTAGCGTGAGGTCGGGAAGGACTGATGCTCTTGCAGATAGTTGGACAGTTCGTTGACCGTCATCATGAAGGACACCAGGCCAAACAGTTGCACAACAGCTGAGAAAGTAATTTGTTGATTTTAAAAAATTCTCTTATTTATAACGATTAATTTTATGTTCAATGACAGATGGCATATGATGACATTTTTGAAAATCAATACTTCGATATTTCATAGTTACGACAAAATTATTTGCAGACGTCAATATCATTACGTGCTCATAAGATGAGATATTTTACAAGTTAGACAATGTGGCACAAAAATGTGAAATTCAGACTAACAACAATGAAGCTTTCAAAATAATGGGACAGTTTTTTTTATTTCTCGGCAAAATAAAAATATCAAGTATCAAATATCAATAAATATCAAAATATCAAATAGGAAATCAAACGAAAACACAACAAGAAAAGAGTTTGTAATTTTGCGCTTGCCTTAGTGTTACAAACATCCACCCACAACCAACTCTCAACAAGTTCAATACATAGTGCTTTAAACCCGCACGACGCTCTTTGTATGCTCACACACACACACACACACACACACACACACACACACACACACACACACACACACACACACACCACATACACACACAAACAGACACCACTGAGTGCATAACATACTTGGGCACAAGTTGCATTATGTACTGTCATTATCGAGCAAACATTCGATTCACGCTTACGGTGAACCAGCAAGATAATGAAAGTGATGGAAATAGGTGCAAAAGTGCAATCTCCACGCTCCAGTAACAACAACAACAACAACTCGATGCAACGCGTAGTAAGTAGTTCGTTCTTTATTTGGCAATATCGTTAAATTCAATTGAATTAGACGTGCTGTACAATGTGTCAATGAGCGTGTGCGAATGTACGTACGTGTGGAATTAGAAAGCGTTCAGATTGAATGTTTTAAATAATTTATTCTAACCTGTTTTAGATATTCCACATAAATTTATTTACAGATAGTTTTTTTTTTACAAAATTAGCGTTTATAAATTTAATGCTCTCTGAAATGTGTGAAAACGAATATGTGTGTGAGTAATTGTAAAACTTTACGAACCATTTGATGGGGTGCAACATTTATGAATGATGAACTTGGCAAATATTGATATTAGGTATTAGTAGGAATCATTATTTGTCTTCATTATTTCACTTTATTATTTGTCTCTCCTTCTATATATACACAGTATATATAGAAGGAGAGACAAATAATGAACAGTTCAATTAGGTAGGTTTCAAAAAGTTATTTGAATGGTCTCAATGGATCTATCAACACATCTTTAATAAAGTTAGTTTTTCCTTACCTTTGTATCTTGCTCCACAGGATTGCAAAATTATATCCAAAGTTACTTAAAAGTTTCTTTGACTGAAAAAACTTGATTAACTCAAATGTATGTTCATAGCTCTTCATTTGACAAGGCCATAGAAGCGACGATATTAGTGTACAATCTTGAAGTTTAAACAACATTTACAATTGGATGATATTTTTATTCTACATTACTCTAGCTCTGTCAAATTCAAGTTGCTTACATGTTATTCAACACGTGTAATTAAAAACTTTTGTGCCAAGCTGTAATAGTACTATCCACGCCACAGGACATTTACAATTGGATGATATTTTTATTCTTTATAACTCTAGCTCTGTCAAATTTGAGTTGTTTACATGTTATTCAACACGTGTAATTAAAAACTTTTGTGCCAAGCTGTAATAATACTATCCACGCCACAGGACTTTGCACGCGCAAGCACCGAACCATGCGAATATGAGTTTCGCACAGAGAGTATTCGAACCATGTTTTTGCGTAATAGCAGTGCGAGACATGACACCTCTACGACTGAGCTAGCTCGGTGACCATGGCTGGATGATGATGCTTGTTGATTGAATGGAAGATGTTTATTTTTATATAATTCTAATTTAACATTTCTATTCGTTTTTTTCTTATGCTTGCCACACAGGTAGACATTTGAACGTATGAAGTGTATAATTTATTATTTTGTATCTTGAAGACATTTAATAGGGCGTTTATTTACAAACTTGTAACGTTATATGCCTGTGCAAACACGAGTTCCATGCACAGCGATATTCTGCCTTCAGGTTTGTTTGTTTGCTTGGATATTACACTGATAATGTTGCGTGTGCTGTGCATGTGTCTGTTTGCGTTTGTGTGTGTGTGTGTTTTGGTGTGTGTTTGTGTGTTAAAGACGATCAAATTTCAGTAGCAAATTGGAATAACGTCTTTCACGGAGGTATACGGGGTTGCTTTCGCCTTTTTTCATTACTTTATGTAGTTGTTTTAGTTTCATCTTAATAAATATATAAAGAAAAGGGCAGCTAAAGGCTCATACGCAGAAGCTGATGTAACTGGCAATTTTAACAAATATAAATGGAGTAAGTAATCTAAACGAAATTGAGGTCTGAACTACAAAGAATAATAAAATATTTTGCAGAAATTTCTTAAATTTAAACAAATAATAAATCATTGCTAAGAACTTCAACACTGGAACAGAAAAAGTATTGGAATGCTAACCAATGATCAGTTTGACACACACATACATAAGATAAAAGTATGTTTGGTAGTTTAGTCTGTTCGGTTAAAAAATTATTTACTAATCTACCAAAAGTGTGATATCAACACTATATTATTTTTCTGGTATTTAATTTTGTATGGAAGTTTGTTGAAATTTGTATACCGTCTCATTCGATTATTTATATGTAGCTGAGCTCGATTGTCAGTTCTTCGATTTTTTTATGCTATTTATAAATTTAAATAGTGTCAATCTACTTGGAAGTTTGCCACAGAGAAAGCGTCCCTAACTCATATTAGTTTATGAACTTTTAACAAGCAGTTGATTATTTGTTGCTTATTAGGAGCAATTCACGTTCATCATGTTGGCTGAATGCACTTAACTATGTGATGGGAACCAACAATTTCTTAAATTGACCATTACCCAGAAATTTAGCGTGTGTACATGTGCGTGTGAAGTATGTGGTCTGTGTGTGTGTATGTGTGTGTGTGTGTGTGTGTGTGTGTGTGTACGTGTGCAATGGGCATGTTTAATCACTTTTGTGTATTCAAGACAAGTTTGTGTAAGTGTCGCTTCTATGTGGAAGAATGTTTGCTGAATTATTTTACAGCACTGCTTATAACTTTATAGAATTGGTTAAGTACCAAATATTTTTTACAAAAAATTGGTTAAATTAAATTTTTTATTTAATAGGTTTCTGGTAAAATTATTAATTTTGAAAATGTTAATGATGACGATTGTAATAACAGTTCAAATGGTGATAGTGATGTCGTCGAGGAGAATTAAAGATGGAACGATACAGTAAATAATAAGATGAAGAAGATGATGACACTGACGATGACTGTAAGCAATGAGAAGATGAAGATACCGATGACGATGATAACTGAAAGTATGATGAGTTTGTAGTGATGATGGTGGAAGCGCGCGTTTGATCAGCGGGACGTTATTGCCGATGTTTTCAGTCAATTCGTGATCGCAATGCTTATAAGCAGGAAGTTCTCTTTCCTGCGTAATACTCGCGCAACAACAACAACAATCATAATAATTATAATAATAATCATAATTATAATCATATTAATAATAATCATAAAGATGAAGGATAAAATTATTTTTATAAATCATTATTTAGTTTATAACATAACGTAACGTAACGTAACATTACCCAACACAGCATAACATAACACAACAACAATAGTTTATACAACAGGTCTTGATGCAGATATTTTGACCCACCGGCTTAATTGCTACCTGCGAAGCTCCATGATTTTTTCCTAAAAAAAAACTTAGAGATCTCAACCTCTTAGTCAACAGTCACTTTTTTTTACATCTTATACATTTCTATACCATTATTACTTTCAAATCAAAATCAACAATCAGCTCCTTCCAATAGAGCACAATCCAAAAATATAAGCCTGACGTTCGACACAATGCTGTCATTCTCTCTACATCACAAGTTGACAGCATTCAAGGCCTCTAAAAAATAATATTTTAAAGACGTTCAGCGGTACCTCCTTCGGCCAGGACAATGAAACCACTGCAGACATACAAAACCATCTATCGCACCAGAATCGAGTATGCCTGCCCTGCCTGGTCCCCGCTGTCATCCAACACCAGTTTCAACCGGCTCCAACGTTCTCAGAATGCTGCTCTACGTGTGATCACAGGCTGTCATATCATCGCATCATAACAGAATCTGCATTCGAAACGCCAAATGCTGTCAGTGAAGCAGCACTCGGAACTTCTCTTCTCCAAATTTTCACTACAATACCATAGTCCAAGCTACTGTGCCACATCAGCACAACTCAGCCACAACCTCAACATGAAAAACACCCCAACTCAAGATAGTCACAGAAGGTAGAAGAAGTCTTACCCGACACCATCAACAGAGTTTCCCTGAAAGCAGCATCCTCCATTCTCCCTTGCCCAACTCCGTTCTGGTCATAGCATTCTTCTTAACAGCCTTAGAATGTCCATTTATTGTATCATTTAAAGAGATAATAAATTGATAGGACCATGATATAATAAACGGTCAGGACAAAGCAAAATAAAAGCACTTTGCATACACAGAGAATTGTAAAGCTTTGATATACCGCTATATAAGCGCTGATAAGTAAAATCGAAATATGGCTTATACGCTTCACCATGGACAGCAACGATTTTCTTTATTAATTTTAATAAATTGGATAATAATTCTAAAATTACTATTAGAAATATTAGAAAGCTCAATCGTAAACTTTCTAAAGCTAGAAAAAGGTACGGTTGGCCAGTACGAGTACGTAAAGTATGCCATCTCTCACCCCGACCAAAGGCGCATAAATGTGAACACCTAACTCGTTCTAGGCTAAACGTGTTTTGTCTCTTATGGGACTCATCAGTGTGCCCGAGTTGAAACACCAACTTAGTGCAATTACAATCTCAGTACGAGCTACTCGTACCGGCCAACAGTACCCGCAGAAGCTGGTCGGAAGTTCTCACCCTATATATATATATATATATAATTAATTAAAAAAATAAAGTAAATATATATATATATATATATATATATATATATATATATACCATCGGACCTCCGTATAACGAACTTTTCTACAGCGAAAATCTTTGAAAAATGAACTTTTTTATGTCCCTTGGAACTTTACATATAAAACTGGTTCTATAAGACGAAAATAATTTCTCTATAACGAAAACAATTTCAGAATGTTAGAAGAAATATCTGACAATTTTGAAAAAAATAATTGCTGAACATAGTAAACTGTAAGTAACATCTTTGCATTACTGCTTTACGCATATTGTTATATAATATACATAATGCATGTACCTACATATTATTATATATTAGGTTATTTTATCTGTTTTCTGCAATTTTACTATGCATTATTACTTTTTGTCATAAGCATAAATGATTAAAAGGTTGTTTATCAAAAATATTTAGCATATAAACACTTTCTGAGGAATATAGAATTTTTTTCCTGAACAAATTCTATAGAACACAATTTCTATCTATGTAGATATATATATATATATAAATATATATATATATATATATGTGTGTGTGTGTATGTGTGTGTGTGTGTGTGTAATAAAGGGGGATATACAAATAACCCAATAATAATAATAATACACAAATGCATATATATATATATATATATATATATATATATATATATATATATATATGTGTTGGTAATAGACCATAATTTTTACAATATTCTATAAATTCTACCGAATGTTTGGCGTTAATATGTTTGTAGTTCGTTTTTTCGATTTTTCTCACTAAAGTTTTTTGGTGAACGTTTAGTTTATTAAAATTCAAAATAAACTTATTTTTCGAATTCATGCTGCAAATAAGGCCATATTTCGATTCCAAATGAATCATCATCAGTGCTCCTTGCTGTATATATAGGGAAATATTGACTTTGTCAAGATGAACTTTGACGTTGTAAAAATTAACTTTGGTGTTGTAAAATTGAACTTTGATGCGAATTAACGCCAAACATTCGGTAGAATTTATAGAATATTGTAAAAATATATATATGTGTATATATATATTTATATATATATAAATAAATATATATATATATATCATTATATAATATTAGATCAAAAAAATACTGAATTAGATGAGCAAAAAAACATCACATACGTTGAACAAAGTTTTTCCCAACATGCTAACTAATAAAGATACTTTCCCACATGCTAACAAAAATTATTTGAATAAAATTTTCACTCTTGAACAAACTTCATAATTTTCGGCAAAACGAACCTGATGCTCCAAGCATGAAAGTGCAAATGGTATTCCTCACTTTAGCTGTTACACAATTTAAAACATTCATGTAGCAAACCAGTGGAATGAGGATGCAGTTGATAATCCCTGATGCATGCGTGGCAAGGAAACCACCTGGAAAAGAAATAGTCGTGTAAATGTGTTGTAACCAATGTTACAAATTGAGAGCAGCAAAGTTAGTTATTGTGTTATTTTGTTACACACACACTCACACACCGCACACACGTTGATGAATCTAATTTATAGCCGCAATTTATAAAAACAATATCAGCTAAAATTCAAACGAAACAACAGTTTAAACAAAATAAAAATTAAACAGTTTTCATGTTTATTTTTTTTCACAAATCTACTTTACCAGTTTTTCATCATTACTCATGATGATATTTTTGCTTTATAGAAAAATTTGCATTTGTCATTAACCACCACCATTTCCTTTTTCCAAAAATAATTTCCATTAAAATCCCTTGCCTACCTCAACTCAATTCACAACCTTCTGTCGTTTAAAAAAGTATTAATACCATATAGAATGGTAACAGTAAGACACTATATGATGTAATATAAAACCTAACATCAAATTTCATGTTATTGTAATGAGTTGGCATTGACGTCTGTCTGTACGACGAAATTAAACCTTTGTTTTTTTGTTTGTAGATACGTCTTGTCTTGCACGTGTTGGTACATTTCATTTGTTTTATGAGCCTTTTCTTACCTGCGTTCGTGTCAGTGTTTCATCAGATCAAATTGATCCGATGCTTCTCTGTGTGTTTATCTCTGATTCATTTATTTATTTCGACAACTATTATATTTTCTTCTGCGTTCAATTTCCATTCCACATATCAGAATCAGCCAACCACTTCAACTTCTTCTACTCTTATTTTTCTTTCCCAATTCACCCGCCAATCAACGAATGAATGGATGAAATGCGGAGAGAGAGAGAGAGAGAGAGAGCTTGTGTGAAACGCGCTAACGATATTACTTCAACGTGCAAGCGTGCAATTGAGGTAATTGGAGATGTCATTATGCCATGCCACCGTGTCTGCTTTTCCGTCCACTCCTAAATCTTCGTACTCCAACCTACATACTCTATTTGATGCTCGGCGTTTTTTGCGTTATATATATATATATATATATATATATATATATTTATAAAGTTCTGAAAAGGACGGTAAATATATGAAAAATATTTTATTATTATGTAAACAATTAATGTACCTCTTGTGGCCACTTTAACACGCAACAAGCGACTAATATCGTGGCTTGAAGTTTGCTTTAAAAAATATTTCCTAACGTATTATTACATACGCGTGCAGATGGACATGTATACAAACGCAAACAACACGCACCACACACACACACACACGCACACACATACACACACAAACACGCACACACACATATATATATATATATACATATACATATATGAATGGTATACGCAGTAGAAGTCTGCTTGAGCCGCATTGGAACTTAGCAGGGTGTCGGGGTTGGATGAAAATTATGCGACTCCGGCTCTCAAAGGTTTCAGACTCCATATGCGACTTTCAGAAATATTGTTTAACTTTTGCATCTTAATTTACATACTAGCGTTTATTTCTAGTATTAAAGATGATAGCATATCGTTACGCATACTTATCTTCTAATAAACATAATCATGAAAATATATTTTCAAAATGAAAAATGAAAAATTTTCTAATTCATATTACTCTACGGAATCGGATAAAAAAATATCCGACTTCGACTTCAACTCCGACTTCTCAAAAATTACGACTTCGGCAAAAATCTCCGATTCCGATCAACTCCAACACTCTTTAATGTATGTATGTCTGTGGTGTGTGTGGTGTGTGAATTTATGTGGTGTATGTATGTGTGTGGTGTGTAAATGTGTGTGGTGTGAATGTGTGCACTTTTGTGTAGTTTGTTTTAGCGGATCGGTTTCACTTAATCTAAATTGTTCTAATCTGTAATTGCTGTAATCTAAATACAGCAGCGAATTATGTAACGTACGCGTTAATTAACAACCACTTGTTTATAAAAGATAATAGTCATACACTCATAACAAATTGGTTCAACACACAAAATGTTACACATTGACAGATACCTGAAATGGTCTCAATTTGTTCAAAAATTAGTTGGACACTGTCATCCCAACACAGCCTGCTAATTCTTTTTCCAACTGTAGTTCCAAGTTCTTCATTGTTACTAACATCAACATCCCTCTTGTCGTTGTTATTATAGCTTATGTCATACTTACTGCTATTATGATTGTAATTGTCGTTGTCATAATTAGTAATGTTTGAAGTTTTCGAAATGTTTGTAGGGGGTCCTAACGCTGTTAACATTTCCGTCGTCGAATGCGATGGATGAATCATCATTTGGGCCGTCGTTGTTGCGTCCCTATTCAACAGCCTTGATGTGAAAGCTATGATGGAAAAATTAAAACTCGCACTATTAGTGTTAATCGTCGTTGTCTTTGTTATTTTTGTTAATGTTGTTGACAATGTTGTTGCGGTTGGTGTTGAAATGGTGTTTGTAGTTGATATGTCAGCTGCTGAGAATGTTGTTGCGGAGATTGTAGAACATTTGACTGGATGTCTGTTGTCTTGTAGTAACTTCACAATTAAACCTGACAAGAAATAAATGCATGGACTTTTAAATTAAAAGAGTATCTATACTAGGAAAAAAATGAAATAATTAAAGATTGAATCCTGTAAGATATAATCAGACTTGGTCCGGGCCTGCTAACTGAAATTGCTGCGTTCTATATGATAGCTTCATATAATGTTTTGTATATAATACAAACAAACAGAAACAGCAAAATCGTTACATAAAGAATCTATATGTACTTACTTATTTAATGGTTATATAATATTAATTTTAACATCACATTTCTACAACGAGCGAATTCAATAACAATATCCGAGCAAAAGCTCAGTTAGGTTCGCTGACAAAAGTTTTGAATTTATTCTAACAGCACAATTATTTTTGGAAACGTTTGAACACACAAATATGGCGATGGTGTTGGATCACATAACACAATTACTTTAATATTTACAAACAGCTGGAATGGATACACTACAAGATGGTTCAAGACTCTATCAATGAATTAAACAGAGTATAAAAAAATTTAGATTCCATTTTTTGGAGCTAAAAATTTTTCAAAATTTGCAAATTTCAAGTTAACTAAAAAAATCTTGACATTGAGGTGCGGATTGTTAAAAAAATTACAGCCTACTAACCACTTGGAAGTGCGAAATAAATTTTGTGGTAATGTTCACAGCGTGGCTATGTATCAAGTAATCAATAGTTTTAAACAGACTCGCTGAGCATGACAATATTTAAGCTGAGTTATCTTGTTTAATTTCAAAGAATTTGGCAGAATTTTGAAAAAAATGCGTCTGCATTGGTTGCTGAACATATTTGATTTTCATTTGTTCGTTATATTATATTGATACCGTATCAGTATCACTCTAGTTTGCCAACGGATATTTTATTAATAATAAACAATATTTTCCTGAACGACATTTTGCCAGATAACATTTTCCCAAATGATATTTATAATATTTACAATTTTTGAAAAAACCTGCATTACCATACGATCCTGAAAATGACGTAATTCATGCATTTGAAATGTTAACTGGAGGCTAATTATACAAGATCGGGAGATGGAAATTGTCCAAGAATTGTTAGGTTGCGTGGATAACAATTATACTGGCTGGCCTGCTTTCAGTAAGATTCGACACATTCCATAACTTTTTTAAAGATTTCAGAAATTGGTACATTGCCGTTCAAAAATGGAATTTCCCAAAACGATAAGAATGGCCGAAGAAGAACGGTATCGATAGTTCGTTCAGTTGATGTGAGCAAATCGTACAATATAACAAATTGAGCAAATTTCTATAACAAATTATTTTATTGAAAATTTTATTTTTATTCGTTTAAATAAAGAATGACTTGTAATAAGAATTTCGTAGCCCAAAAATAAGATGCCAGGCATTATTTGCAGAAGACATCAGGCAGGGAACGGACAAACTTGTAACTCGATAACCTATGTATTTGTTTTTCGTATTTGCATACTCTGTTTTATTTGTGTTTGCATTCCGTGTCTGTATTTGTATATCGTGTTTGTTTAGTGTTTGTATTTGCATGCAGTGATGCTTCTCTGCGTATTATTTAGCTGGCGCCATTCATCTACGGCATGCCTTCACAAAAGTTAAACTTCCAAGCCACTGAACAAACAGCTCGTATCTTGCTTAGGATTTGCATTATATAAATTAATTGTTCAATTAAATTTCTGAATGACAATTCTTCAATAATTTTGTTTTCTAAAATTTTTATAACAAGTTAATAAATATATAAAGTATTTTCAACAAGGTACAAAATGCCTAAATATGAATTGTACACATGTATCAGATACATTTCAACGAGTGCGTAAATAACATCAGGGGCCAGGCACCAGCAAAACTTCGCATGGCCTGTTCAAGCGTACAGCTTCAAACGTTTCTTAAAAAATCTTCCATGAAAGTGTCGTGATGTTGTCATTTCATGTCATTATTATGTCTCATATTTTAATTCAAACTTCTTAGTTTCAGTAAAAAACATGGATGTAAGTTTTTTCAACTGCAAAAGTTTTCAGCTTATCAGTTTATTAAATTAAGTTCAACATTTTCTTAAAATATTTTCACCGTGTAACGAACAAATAAATTAAACATTAAATTAACTACCTTCGACGAGCTTCTTGTTGGATGCCGGAAGATTCGATGAATTGAAGCCACCATGTTTCGAAGCTCCTGCCGTTACGATATTACGCAGAAGATATTTCTCCTGGACGTCCAACTCGAAAAATATGTCAGACGAGTGCGGGTCGTCGCCGAAGTGAATTGCATCTGTGCGATCCAAGGACGATGAATGAACTGATGAAAGCGGTTGCACGTGCAGTTGGAACTTGGAGAATGGGAAAAGCAGAGTGAAGTCGTACCATTTTTGAAAGGTTAAGTAGAAAAGTGCCATGACAAAACTTGATAGAGCAATTTCCCGAACGTTTTTTCGCAGTTGAATGATGAAATTAGTCATTGTGGTTGGACTGGAAGACGCGGTGCAATTGATGAAGGCATTATGATGGATGGTCAGACGCAGATGTGAATGAGGATTTTCTACTTCCATTCATGTTTGCATTATATAGTCGGACTATATATGACATGTGTGTGTGTGTTTATGTATGTATGTAAATGTATACGCATATATGTATGTATGTATGTATGTATGTATGTATGTAAGTATGTATGTATGTATGTATGTATGTATGTATGTATGTATGTATGTATGGATGTATGTATGTATGTATGTATGTATGTATGTATGTATGTATGTATGTATGTATGTATGTATGTATGTATGAGAAGAAAATAATGGCAATTAGTTGAATGATCCACTTCAGTTAAAGTCTGCATGAATTTTACCTAAGGCTTCATGGAACATTCTTCTCTCAACCTCTGTACTCACTCACATTCACTCTCACACGTGCACATTCACACGTGCACATTCACACGTATACACTTAGCGTACACATTCACGTGAAATAAATGAAATACCTGGCAGAAATGAACGAGATATGTAATCATCTGATGTATTCGAGGTGTTTGACCTTAGTCTTATAATAAAGTCTTATTAGGATAACCCAGTTTGATTCAATTTTAAACACTATTAACACGGTGAGATTTATTCACAAAATGATTAAAAAAACAAATAATGAAGTGGGGTAAAATTAATTAAGTTTAGTGAGAAATTTTAAAGTGCCAAGTTAACCCGCGGACGCCCGAATTGTGTCTTTTTGCAGACGTGCAAATATTAGCAATTGTGAGGAACTTTTTGAAAAATTTCCTGCTGCCTGGGGCATACGCAAACAAAGGAATTCCATTTCTTCCGTTTATTTTCGTTAAATTCTTTTTCACGTTTTAATGTTTTGTTTCAGTTAATACTTATTTTTGTTTCTATACTCGATTTTATTATATTTCTTTGAAATTTGTTTAGAAATCATTTTTATAGAGAAACCAAAAAAGCGTAAGTAAAATTATTACAAGATGTTTTAATATAAAATTTGTTTTCAATGCTTTAAATAAGTAGCAATATTTCTTGAATGAGTTTAAAAAAAGCTGTTTTTATCTGTGATATATAAAAAAATGTAGGAAAAACATTCGTTCAACTAAAAACATCATAAAAGAAAATAAACGTCAGTTAGGATGATGACTTGTCAATATCACGTGATGCTGATGTTGACGTCACTGGACGCATGAGCCATCGTCATTCTCAAGTTCTCTTTAACAGGCTGATCGTCTGAACATTTTTCAGCACATTTAAGTTATAAAATAAATTCTGATTAGTTTTTTTTATGTGAATTTAAATGCATTAACATTAACACAAAAAATATCATCGTCACCATCATCAAAGAGCTCATCAACTGTTATCATAACCATCTTCTTCTTCACCAGCATAGTCATTATCCTCATCATCATCCTCTTCTTCCTCATCACTTGCACGCCCTTGCTAATTGTTTTCCTGGCACACGGAACACACTCGTACGATCGATTTTCATTTCAAAATATTTACACAACATCCTCCCGTGTGCTTTTATTGCTTGGCAAGTGATGATAAAGAAGATGATAAAGATGGTGAAGTAGAAGATGAAGATGGTGAAGATGACGACGAAGATGATGAAGACGAAGAAGATGATGAAGAAAACGGAGAAGAAGAATTTGATGATGAAGATGACGACGACGATGATGATGAAGATGATAGTGACAATGATGAAGATGATGATGAAGAAGATGATAATGAGGGAAAAGGAAAAGGAGGAGACAATGAAGATGAAAACGATATTAATAAAAAAACGTATTAATGATAAAGATGATGACGACGATAATGAATGATGAAGAAAAGTTAAAGTTTTAAATGGAAGTAAGTGTTTCCGTCCACCTCTTATTAAGTCATCGTTGATTAAATGGTTAAAAAGAATTATATTGATGGTATGGTGGTTTTTTTTGTGTACATATAAACTATATTGACCAATAACTTATCCTAATTTGATGACGATCATTTTTCAATTTTCACAAACAAATTATTTTAAAACTTTACGAACAAACTCCATGTAGCATTGATGCGTTTTTAAATATTTTGGGAAGTTTAAATTTTTATTCGAGTGCGATTACATGAATTTATTATAGTTAATTGTCGTACGTCGTAATTATTATGTACCCATTCTGTAAGATGAAATAATGAGAAAAATTTAAAAAGTCCTTTCCAATATGTCACTTTGTTGAATAAATCTTCTATTGCAATCACGTCAAATAACGAAAATTGTTATTAGTACTCAAATGTATTACAACTTTTTTCCATTTACGTCATTAATGAATATTAATCGGAATAATTTAAATATTTTTGGTCTAATTTAATAAATTTATTTAATCAAATAATTTAATTTATTTTGCTTTGGGTAAATATTATTTATTCTTTTATTAATATTTTAAATTTGTTACAAAAATATGTTATATTTTGTTTTTATTCGCTTGGCATCAATTGCAAGATTTGCAATCGGGGTTGAACCTGAGTCTGAGACGACTTTTCATCAAAGCATCATCTGACTGCTGCTGTTGCTGGTGGCCAAGCAGGCGCCCTGACTTCACTTTCGCGATTTCACTTGACTTCCAAATTTGTGACTTACACGACCTGGCTTCAATTCTAAATTCACTCTAACTATTAGCAATTCATTGTAACAAGATGCAACGCTATAAAACTTTTTACAAAAACTGATATGGACATTCCAATAATTTGCCAGCAAGTATCAATTTGTAACATACATATTTACATGGCAACCGTGATAAAACATTGACTGAGCTATTAAAACTACTAGTAACCTATTACAAAAAATTAATTTTTTTCAATCGAAAACTTATTCGACAAAATGAAGTTACTTCACTGCGTGACGTGTTTGCTGAGTAATTTGAAAATGAAATGCATATTGTCATGTATAAAAAACACTAGAAAAAGTTGCGTTCTATGTTTTAGATTAGTCCCTTGCTTGGAAAAATTTGTTCGACTGCGGGACACTTGTTTCTCATGCCCATAAGTTTAGACTGCTTGAATGTGTCGTCGTTTTGTTTTCAGAAACTTCAATTTGATTGCATTTTCAGTTTATAATTCACTTTTAAAAAAGGTGAACCGTAATTTTAAAAAAAGTGCCTTGACTTGACTTGGCACCTCTAAAGTCCACTGAGTCGACTTCATAGCAAAGACTCTCAGGTCAGGTCAGGCCAGGTCAAGCCAGGCTAGGTAAGGTAAGGTCAGGTCAGGTCAAGTCTAATTAGGTTCATAAAAATATTTTTATGTATCAAGCATTCGATAATTCAAAAAATCCTATCTTCAAAACAACTTAAATTAATGTTGCACATACGGCGAACATTTATTTGAAAGTAAAAAAGAACAAAAATTGCGAAAAAATAGTCTCTATCTTAAAGCAAACGTGGTTTTAATTAACAGAAACACCATTTGACATGACAAAACTTGCATGCAGACGTTAATATAAATATAAATATATATAAATGTATAAATAAATATCAATTCTCTAACCATGAACGTATTTGATCACATAAGTTTTTCTGTAACTATTCTGTTAATTTTCTTCTAATGAGAACGTTTAAAATTTATTTTCACGCACTTTGCGAGTTGTGAACAAAAATTTTATTTGATGATTAATCAACAAATTTTCTATCTTCATATATATTTTTTATCCTGAAACACCATTTATTGAAGTTTCAAATTCAAAATCGTTCTGGTGTGCTGGTCAAAAATTTAATTTCACTAGATTCTAACGAATAAAAAAGAATTTTCTGCATGGACAGCCACGATCGTCAAGCTAGACCTACTGCATCAAATCGTGCAATTTCAATTTTTACAATATTTTCTACGATTTTAACAACGAGTTGTACTGCAAACATTTGAATCGTTAGTTTTCATAAAAACAGTAATTTCGATGATGTTCCCACAGAAGTTCCTACAACCACTCCATTCCAACAACTATCTATTTTTAACCAAATAAAATTTTTTTTATAACTTCACCGGGTACAAATAATTTGTCTTTTTAGTTTTTTTTGTTCTCATGTTGTAACTCCTACTAACATTTTCAATACAAATGATAAAATCGCAAACATTTTGTAATTAATGCTACCAATGTTCTTTGCGGCACTTTTGTTACTACTATTTCAACTAATACTGCTACTACATTTTTTTCTACCTCCAGTACTGTTTTATTACCATTACATTTATAACAACATTAATGTAACCTTGTGATGCTGTTGTCAGAAACAGAAGCAGCTGTTCTAAGAATACTAATACCATTAGTAATTAGTAGTAGAGTGTTACGTAGTGCAGTAGTTGTGCATCTACTATCATCATAGTTACTACTACAACAAAGGATAAAACAATAGCAAGAATGCTACTCCTCCTCCTTCTACTACCGCTTCTACTACTTTTACTACTATAACAACAACATTAACAACAACAAAACAACAACAACAACAACTACTACTACTAATAATAATAATATTACTGAAACCACTGCTATTACTACTACTGCTATAGTAAACGCAACTGCCCATTTATTGGAAATTAAAACAAACACCACAAATAATAAGTTATTCGTCTGCTTTTAAAATGCTGCTACACACACACAGCTGAGTTTACTGCCGATATTTTGTTGAGTCACTTTACAGGAAAAAATTCCCCAATGAAATCAAGAGTACTAGAAATAATAAAATAATCTGGAAATAACTTCGTACCAGAAAAAAGTAAAAGTAGTAAATGTTTGTTGGATGTGCTAGCGACGAAGCGGAGCCATGAAAATAAATCATGTTCACTTTGATACGTGCGATGCTTCTATCGTCAATAAGGACGTTCAATCAATTACCCTTAAATCTCTTTACAGCCGGCTTCGAACTTTCGATTGATTAAAATTTCTGAAATGTACCTCAGGTCTACACACCCATGAATGTTTCGCTCATTTCATTTGATATACGTGTCCA